AGGACTCCAACGGCAACGTTATCCAGACAGGAAGCGGGAGGCCAGCACGCAAAGTCCCCTCCACCACACGACTCCACGGGGTATGATCTGGTGGTTTTAGGGTTTATGTAGCGGTTTCAGGTTTAGAGCTGGGGTTTAGACTTGAGGGTTTAGGGGTTGAGGGTTGAGGGCTTGCTTGGAGGTTCATGGGTACCTATGACCCTCATCATACCCTGCACTTACAAGCCCCCTAAGTCCCCGAAGTAGGTTCGAAGTAAACTTATAATTCGGGTTAGAAGTACCCATGAACCTCCAAGTAGGGTCTAAAGTAATTAAGATGTGTCTGGGGAGGGCTCTTATTTCGCGTTGCATTTTTTCAGGTAGTCCTTGGATTGGGGATATCCGAAAGTTCAAACAAAGCCCCTGACAGGCCTCGCTTGGGCTAATGGCCTTGCAGGGCTAAGAAAATACCTTGGGCTTTGTAGGGCTCGAGGTTCTTGGGCTTCAAGTCGGGTTCATTGCTGAGGCATCAAGGGGTATAGTAGGTATACTTTAACATACGGGATCATACGGGAGTTATAGAGCGAAGAAGTGAAGAATGTCGAAGAAGCATATGGTTTGAGTTCAGCCTAAACCCTGCCACCCCGCGCAGCTTTTGGACTGAGAGCGGCAAGTTCCGTGCGAGTCTGGTTTCCTCATTTCCTCACCCCTAAATCCCACAATATCTTGCCTGAACTCTAACCTGGTGGAGATTCACCAAGAAACAGACTCTACGTGGTTGAGATATCCCGAAGAAACACACAAGCTACCTTCTTCTATGGAGCCCGAAACCCCAGCATAAGATCCACAACTCTAGCTTCCAGGGTTCAGGGTAACTGGTATGATAGAGGCCTATTGAATTTGAATTAGTATTTGCGTTGTGTAGTTTCTCTTGTAGATGTAGATCGTCTATAAGCCTGGGTCTTCAAGGACCCTAAACCCTGCATCCTCTTTCATACAGGGACTAAATAGGGGTCGATTCTACACCCTCCTCTTTCAAACAGGAGAAGAATAAGGGTTAGGCATGGGTAGTTAGCAAGGCTTCTGTGTCAGGGTGTCGGGCTCCGGGTGGATTGAGGGTTTGGGGTTTAGGGTTTGGGGTTACAGATCAGGGTTTAAGGTTCAGGACGTCTGGGGTTTAGGGCTAGGGTTTAGGGTCTAGGGTCCAGGGTTTAGGGTTTGGGTTTAGAGTTTAGGGTTTAGGGTTTAGGGTTTAGGGTTTAGGGTTTAGGGTTTAGGGCTTAGGGATTAGGGCTTAGGGGCTTAGGGGCTTAGGGCTTAGGGTTCAGGTTCCTACTTAGGCTTCTAGAGGTCGGGGGCACATGCCAACCAGGTCGCTGTGAGAACTTTGCCTGTGAGGCAGCCGAGCATGCAGAAGCCGCAGCCCTAAACTCTAAACCCTAGACCCTAAACCCTAAACCCTAGAGCCTAGACCCTAGACCCTAGACCCTTAAACTAGAACCCTGACGAAGCTACCCTTCGGCCTGAACTCAACTTGAACCCTGGCGTCCTAAAGCCTCCTGAGCTCCCAGAGCTCATGGTAGGGTTTAGGGTTTAGGGTTTAGGTTTAGGGTTTAGGGTTTAGTGTTTAGGGTTTAGGCTTTCAGGGTGCTAGGCAGGATCCCAGGCATCCTACCCTAGACAACCCTTAGTCAAAGGGTGGTAATGAGTCCTTTGGGGGATTCCTAAAATAGGGGCACTTGGCCGGAAATGCTCATTTGATGGGTCAAAGCAAAGACGCACGGATGAATCAGCATAGTGTACATTTAGAATTATGCCCATGTGGGTTGTGAATAGTTGATCCAGTATATTGTTTTAGCCGGCTTAGTTTTCATTGTTGTGGCTACCAATCGGTTGAACGAGTTCCTGCAATCTTGCTTGCCAATTTTTATTTCGTAATGCCCTATAATCACGTGAGCTGACGAGATACAAACATGCAAATGCCACGCATGTCGCTTCTGATGCATTCCCCAACCGTTTGATGCCTGATTTGCCTCGTGTTCCACAGAAATTCCAGTTGTAGCAGCCTGGTGGTCTGTTACTAGGTAAGTATCCATCGAGTATCTGTGATTTGCTGAGGGAAAGGGTGAGGGTCTCAAGGGCTATAGAGGGCTTATATAGGGTTGAGGGTTTAGGGCATTTAAGGGCTCAGATGTAAAGTTGAAGGGTCTGGGTTTTCGAGTCTACGGTTTTTGGGGCTTGGGGCTTTGTGGACTCAAGGGTTAAACCCGAAACCCTCAACCCTCAACCCTGAACCCAAACCCTCAAGCCTTAACCCCAAACCCTCAACCCTGAGCCCCAGACCCGAAACCCTCAACCCTAAACCTCAAGACCAGCGAGCCACTAGACCTTGCCCCGGACAGCGCAAGGCAAAGACCAGCAATAGACTGGCAGAGTGCGACAAATGGCTTCGTGTTCAGGGTATAGGGCTTAAGTTTTAGGGTTCAGGGTTTAGTGCTTAGAGTTTCAGGGCCCTAAACACACTAGGGTTTGGGGCCCCGCATATCGTCACCCGAAAGTCAAGTCCTTTCCAGGGGTATTCTTTGCTCCCTTGTGCGGACCTTTCTTAGGGGATTCTACTCTTGTTTGCGGTTAAAGGGGGCCCCTGTGACCCGGAAACTCCCAGCCGACAGTCATTAGGATTCACGCCGCGCTCGGCAAGCAGCCCAATCGTCAGCATATGACGTCGCCAGAGTAGCCCTTCCCAGTTGGGCTTGTTGGGTTTGTGCCTTGCTGCGTGTGCGTGTGCGCATGCGCGTGCGAGTGCACGTCGAACTCAAGTGAGGGGGCGTCGAAGGTTTCCTCTCGAACCCTAAATCGAGAATGCAGGGTCTCCATATTCTCCAGACCTCTTAACCCTAAACCAGCCCCCCTTTAGACTCGGAGCATACTTAGAATCTGCTGAAGAACCTCAAAACATGTACAATACTCGCGGAAGAAGAGTTTCTTTTTTTCTCTTCCCTTGTATTTTGGGGGGTTCTTAAGAAAAGAATGAGAAGGTCCACCAGACCTCCTTCCCCCCAAAGAACCGAAGATTGGCGGTAGCAAAGGAATATTTGGGCCCCTAAACCCTAAACCCTAAACCCTAAACCCTAAACCCTAAACCCTAAACCCTAAACCCTAAACCATAAACCCTAAACCCTAAACCCTAAACCCTAAACCAAGAACCGAACTCTTGGGGCCCAAAGGCTCGTGCATTCAAAGGGACTTTTAGAATAGGACACCCGCGGCTATTCTAGGACTACATACTTTGGGACACAGAGCGAGAGAGAGAGAGAGAGAGAGAGGAAGAGTCTACATATATATATATATATATGTATGTATATATATATAGATGCACACATGTGTATATGTGTATGTATATGTATCTGTATCTGTATATGCATATGCATATGCATATGTATGTATGTATGTATATATATATACACATTAACTTTTTATGCATATACAAGAGGGGTTATCTGGGGTACATAGTAGGATTAAGGATCCAGTCTAGAGATCCCTTCGGCTATCTCTTACGGGCTTGTCCCATGAATTTCAGGGCTGTGGCTGAAGCGGAAGATGCATCATCGTTTCGAGTTTACCCGAAATCGTTGCACTAAACCAACCCTAAACCCTAGAACCCTAAACCCTAAACCCTTGCACTAACCTTCACTAAACCCTTAAAACCCTAAACCTTAAACCTTAAAGCCGAAACCAGATAGGGTTTAGACTGCGTGGTTTGCAGTGCAAGGTCTGACGCCCTGGGATTTGGGATGTAATGGAATTTCTTTACGGGGTGAGGCCAAACCCCTGGACCTGACAAAAAACATCCTAGATCTCAAATCCCTCAGCCCCTGCGCCCCGAACCCCCTATCTCCAACCCAAGCCCCTAACCCTCTATAATTCCCAAGCCCCGACACCTCTGTAACCCCCTACCTGGACTTCCCGAAGCCCTAAACCCTTACGCCCCTACTGCAAGTGCAAAGCCGCCGGCCATGGCCTTGTGACGCCGTCCCGTCGCCCTGCGCTTGAGCTCGGCGCCCGATAGAAGTCCTAAACCCCCAAACCCCTAATGAAACTGTAAGTCCTCAACCCTAAACCCTAACCCCTCGCCGTGAGTCGACTCAACACATGAGGACAGGCTTACAAGGAGGGGCCCCCCTACTATACTAGCTATAGTTACGGGACTTATAACCTGAGCTAGGATCCTTATAACCCAATTCAGGGTCCCCAAAACTCTACTTATAACTAGCGGGGGGGGGGGGGGGGGGCCCTCTCCTTGTAAGGTTGAAGGTTAAAAGGGCTTAGGGCTCTGAACTCCAAATCTCACCTAGACCGCAAGGCCCTTCCTCAAAAGCACATCGTGAATATCCTTGCATTTTACACATATTCGCTATTCCCCACCTTCGGTGTGGGGTTGTTAGATGTTAATCTCAACTCTTCTCCTCGCCCGGAACTCTTCTCCTCGCCCCGAACGCTTCTCCTCGCCCGGTCTCCTCCTAGAGATGCCCTGGAGTGCCCAACCCCAGAGAATCCCTGGAGGGCCCTGCCCCAGAGACTCCTGGAGTGCCCAACCCAGAGACTTGTGGAGTGCCCAACCCCAGACTCTCCCTGGAGTGCCCCCTAAACCCTAAACCCTAAACCCTAAACCCTAAAACCCCAAGTTTGCCTGTGCCCAACTCCCTGGAGTGCCCCCAACCCTGGAGGGCCCAAGCCGAGAGTCTCCCTGGAGTGCCCAACCCCAATTGCGGTTTGAGCATCTTATTTGCGCTCTTTCTTTTTAACGAGGAGCAAGGTGGGGATGTGCGAAGCAAAATAATTTAAATGTAAGATGTAGAACGAATATATGATACATTCTATATTTCTACGTGTACTTGTATGTATGTTAGCAAGGCACGCACCCACACACACTTGTCACACACCAGTAAGGTATATGTTGAACATTCTAAACTCGTATTTCACGGCGGCCCCAAAGCCCTTCGAACGCCCCAGGCCAAACGATGCTCCAGGCCGTCGTGCACAGGGTCAAGGAAACAGGATGCCAGGGTGCGGAGTTCTGTTCTTGCAGCCCTAAACCCTAAACCCGAAACATTAAGCCCTAAACCCTAAACCGGTTTAGGGTTTAGGGAACCCCAAAGGATGCGTGGGGCCGTCTCAAGGCTTCAGCATCCTAGACCAGGGTTTTGGGCGTCTAGGGTTTAGGGCTTCGAGGGTTTTGGGCTTCTAGGGTTTAGGGTTTAGGGTTTAGGGTGTAGGGTTTAGGGTTTAGGGTTTAGGAAGCACATCCTTCAAGGGTATGCCATCACAGGCGTTCTGGACGCCTCCACAGGCTGTCGGGAGCTCTGCAAGGCGGCTATGGCCTTGAAGTTGTCGTACCCGGGTCTGCCCAGACCCCTGGAAGGTCTGGGTCCGAGGTGTGCATGAATTTGGACTATGAGGTCATGCTGAAGGCCAAAATGTATCAGGAGGGTTTAGGGTTTAGGGTTTTGGGTTTTGGGGTTTAGGGTTTGGGGTTTAGGGTTTTGGGGTTTAGGGTTTAGGGTTTAGGGTTTAGGGTTTAGGGTTTAGGGTTTAGGGTGCAGCGGCAGATGGCTACAGAAGGCAGCCCGTTCTACGAGCCTCACTGCCAGGAATGGAAGAGCCAAGATCATGGTGGTCGAGGTCTTCTTAGGCCCTACAGCAGCTCTACACAGCACGATCTTCGAACTCCAACGACGAGGCTGCGAGGGCATTGACCATCATCAAGCGCGAGACGAAGCTGATTACCGACAGTAAGGGCAACGGTTGGGCTGTGACGCACAACCCCAAGGATCCATGTACCTATAGTATATACTTAGGCCTTAAAGGGGTTCCTATATAGTAGCTTTAGGGCCCAAGTATCTACTACATTGGTACATGGATCCTTTGGGCAAGGGTTTTGGGCGGTTTTGGGTTGCCCTCAGCCCTAAGCCCTTGCGCCTGCCGGCCGGGCATTGCGAGTCTCCGGCTGGAAGCCTCGGAGTTGAGTGCTTTTGAGGGTTAAAGGCTTGATGTTTAGGGTTTAGGGTTTAGGGTTTAGGGTTCAGGGTTCAGGGTTTAGGGTTGTTAGCAACCCTAAACCTTCAAACCTTAAAACGGTCCTCTTGACCAAATTCTCTTTGTTCAACGGAAAGCAGTGGACACTGCATTCCCTATTAAGGTCCCATAGGATCCCCACATTGATCCCAACATCCCCAAATGGGACATCAAGCCAAAACTCAAACCCAACGCATTTCCTTAGATGTATCTGAGTCATGTAGTCACATGCGGGACCCTTATAAGGGACCTTAGGGGTTATTTATGACTTATGTAGGGGCTAGTTAGGTATACAGGCGCTATATACGGCAAACATAGGGGTTATGAAGTGGAATAAGATTATGTATCCCTTCTAGGGGTCCCTCCTTATGCCCCTTGAACGGTTTAGGGTTTAGGGTTTAGGGTTTAGGGTTTTGGGTTTAGGGTCTAGGGTTTAGGGTTTAGGGTTTAGGGCTTAGAAAAGCTCCTCGTGAACTGCTTCTTCGCAGGCAAACAAGGGCAACGTGATCTCCAAGTTTCACAAGACATCCCTGGAGATCCGCAACCATGCTCCAGCCTCATTTTTCGTCATGGATTCACCCTAACCCCCTAACCCCCTAAACCCTAAACCCTAAACCCTAAACCCTAAACCCTAGACGGGTTACCCTAAACTCTAATCTAAACCCTAAACCCTAAACCCTAAACTTAGATGCCGGGGTTTAGGGTGCAGGGTTTGTCTTCTCTTGGTTTTTGGAATGGGGTGGAGGACATCCTCGCCCCCTAAGCCGACGAAGCCCTAGACCCCATGGGCCCTTTCGAAAGCCATCTGATAGGACTTGGCTGACAGGGCTGAATAAACCCTACACCCTAAACCTTCAAACCCCTAAACCCCTAAACCCCTAAACCCCTAAACCCCTAAACCCCTGAACCCCTGAACCCCTAAACCCCTAAACCCCTAAACCCCTAAACCCCTAAACCCCTAAACCCCTAAACCCCTAGCCACCCCCCCACAAAAAAACAAATAAACAATACAAGAGAAACATAAAACCCTGACTCAGCATGGCAGGGTTCCAGGATTCAGGGTTCTCACCGCAGGGCAGCTTGCGGTCCAGGGTTCATTTCATGGTAGTTCAGGGGGCCTACTGTAGGTGTCGGGTTTCGGGTTTAGGGTTCCAAGGGTTGAGGGTTTCGGGCTTGGATTTTAATCCCTTCCCCCGAATATTGGAACACCCCTTCAAAAAAGCTGCACCCAAGCCCGAGCGCGTACCCGTCCCCAGTAAAACCTCTACCGAAACGGGGGCGGGGGGGGGGAGAGGGGCTGGGAAGCCTGAAGCAGAAACTTGAACTCTGATTATGGAAACCCCCAAACCCTGTAGATAGACTCAAGTTCCTGTCAGTCCCGATAGGGTTTAGGGTTTAAGGTTTGGGGTTTAGGGCTTAGGGTCTCCCTACCCTCGCTCGGGGCTGTTTGGCAGTCTGCCTGTCTCAAGTGTAGTCTGGCTGCATTCGATAAGAACCCCCCCCCCCCCCCTTTAAGACTAAAACACCATGGGGGTTTGGGAGGTTTTACTACAAGGGGGGGGGGGGGACTTTCGCATAAGGGAGAAGGGGTTAGAAGGGGTTAGAGTTTGCAAAGAATAATAGCCCCTATTACGCTGCCCTGGTGAGGAACAAGTTCTTTTCAATCTTTGGGTGGTTTTCAGCAAATGGTAGTGAAGTCTAGGACCGGGAGTAGGCCCTGTGTTCCTTCTTTTAGGGTTGGGGTTCCCTTAAAAGCCCCTTAAAATCAAAAAGGGCACCCTTGTTATTCCTAGGTTACTCCTGGGTCACCTTAAACCCGAAACCCCAACCCTAAACCCTAAGCCCTAAACCCTAAACCCTACTCCCGGGTCTAGAAGTGCTCTGAGGAGTTGAGATACTACCTCGGCGTCTTCAACCGGCTGTGGGGAGCTCAGAGTGGCCCCAACCGCTTGTCTGCCATGGTTGAGTTGCTTCGGGTTTAGGGGTGTTTAGGGTTTAGGGTTTAGGGTTTGGGGATTGGGGTTTGGGGTTTAGGGTTTTGGGTTTTGTGTTTAGGGGAACAAGTCCTTTTCAACCCTAGACCGCCCGACGTCTTTGTTGTTCGGATCGAGAATGTCAAGTTCCGGGTCGACTGCCCCGCCATCTCTTGAACAAGCTTCCAAGCTGCCAGCCGGTGTAGGGTTCAGGGTTCAGGGTTCAGGGTTTAGGGTTTAGGGTTTAGGGTTTAGGGTTTAGGGTTTAAGGTTTCGGGTTTCGGGTTTAGGGTTACGCAATCCAACCCGAAGCCCTCACCGCATCCATGTCGAGTCTGATGCAACGAGCTTAGAGCTTTCGGGGCTTTGGGACCCGATTCCTGAAAACCTCCTAAACCCTAAAGCCTAAACCCTAAACCCTATACACCCACAACCTCCAGGTCGGCGATTTCGTCAATTCTGGCCGGTTTCGCATCGTCGGCGTTGACGATGAGCGTGAGCTCAGGGGGGTTTAGGGTTTGGCGCTCCTTGAACCCGTTAAGTGGCGTGCATGAATGCACTACTCAAGCAACTGGGGTCACAAAACATGGGCCGACTTGGAATGTCAACTGACCTCCCACGCCGAAGCTTTGTCATGCGCTCCTTCACCCAAAGCAGCATCTTTGCACCAGTGCAACGGGCCAGTCTCGACCTCGCATCCTGCAGGCTCGGCACTAGACCCCGGAATCCGAAGTCATTTTTACCCAAAGGCTCCAATGTAGTTCCTTTTTGGGTTAGTTATAGGGGATTTTAGTATGCTACCCCAAAAAGGTACTACATAGGAGCCTTTGGGTAGGGCTTCAGGTTCAGGGTTTAGGAAAACGTGCCCTCATCATGGCAGAGCGGTCCTCAACCCTTTCTGAGCTCTCTCTGGTTTGAGGGTGAGATGTGCACAGGGCCCACTTCAAGCCAATTTGTTCGCATCCCTTCATCCGCTCTCAAGACAACTCTCAACCCTAAAAGCCTAAACCCTACACCCTCAGCTAAAACAACCCTAAACCCCAAACCCTACCCCTAAACCCAAGCAGCATCCCTGAAGAACTCCTGACCTCAGAGTACATCGCAAAGAATTAAAGACCAATGAAAGGCTCTAAACATCCTTAAGCCCATCAACCCGAAGCAGCCAACCCAGAACCCTAGCCCTAAACCCTAAACCCTAAACTCTAAACCCCAGATCAGGTACCCGAGTGGGAGGACTCCTTGCTAGTGATGGCCTTCCTCATCTTCACGGGAAGCGCTTTCGGGATGAACCTGATGGCTGCCTCCTTAGAGCTGCAGGTCTTGGGGGGGTTTAGGGTTTAGGGTTTCGGGTTTCGGGTTTAGGGTTTAGGGTTCAGGGTTTAGGCGTTAGGGGACTTCGGGTCCAGAGCCCTCCTAAACCTCACAGAACTTCAGGCCCCAGCCCTTTCGGGGTCTACAGGGCTTCTGGCCGTGAGCTTTTGGAGCGTCAGGATTCTAGAATTCTAAAGATGCTGCGAGTTTTCAAGTCTTGGAGTTTAGGCTTTGTAGCTGAAGTTTCGGGGTCGCATTCCTGCGGGGCCGACGTAAAGTTGCGGAGCAAGCGCCGAGGGTCCTTAGCAAAGCCGATGCTCACATCGGCATGCTTTGCTCTGAATCGTTTCTCTCATCTTCCCGCAGCTTGGAGGTCTCTTTCTGCGACGGTTTAGGGTTTAGGGTTTAGGGTTATGCACATGCAGCTGCACACCCCTTGTGCCTCGACAAGCAGCAGCGCAACCTGCGTCGACATGCCAGGCATTGTAAATGAATGTACTTACATGTTTTCTTTGCACCTCCTTCGGCGCCCTACCCAACAGAACAGTCCTATGCTGTACCAGAATCACTGTAGACCTTTCTAGCAGTTCTAGCATTCCTGGAGGACTCTATACATGCAACTGCCCAGAGGTTTAGGGTTTAAATTTAGGGTATATAGGGTTTTGGGTTTATAGGGTTTAGGGTATATAGGGTTTAGGGTCCCCGCTTTGGGGGATCTGCCTTCTGGCTCCACATGCAGGCCGCTGTGTCAGAATCCCGCGACTTCGTAGCAGGCGTTTGGAAGCAGTGCTTTGGCCTGGGGGGCGACTTCACAGTGGTGGTGGAGGCCATGATTGGAGGTTCATGGTACGTTTAGGGTTTAGGGTTTCGGGTTTGGGGTTGAGGGTTTCGGGTTTAGGGTTTAGGGTTGAGGGCAATTTCGGGGTATCCAATTATGACTGTACTGAAAGCCCACTTCCAAGCCCCTGAAGTGCCTTAATATGGTTATAAGTACAGTCCATAAGTACGGCTTTGGTTGGTTAAGAAGTACCCTGAACTGCCCTGTGTTTGAGGGTGTTGGCTTGCCTACGCCCTACGCGCTAAGCCCCAAACCATAAACGCGAAGCCCACAAGCTCCAAGCCTCATACAGGGTGGGGCCCCCTTACTATACTAACTGTAGTTAAGGGACTTATAACCTAACTTAGGGTCCTTATAACCCAATTTAGGGCCCTTATAACTCTACTTATAACTAGGGGGCCCCACCCTGTAATGGTCCGTGTACCAACAGTGTTAAGCTGTATATAAGCCCAAAGGATCCATGTACCTATGTAGTATATACTTAGGCCTTAAAAGGGGTTCCTATAGAGTAGCTTTAGGGCCCAAGTATCTACTATATTGGTACATGGATCCTTTGGGTAGTATATAGGAACCCCATTTTTAAGGACCAGGTATCTACTATACAGGTGCATGGGAAGAGCATGTGTTGCAAGCCCTGGGTGGGATCTAAGGCTAGGGATGAGCTTGCACAAAACCCTAAACCCTAAACTCTAAACCCTAAACCCTAAAGAGCGACACAGGTTGCTGGTTCAGGGACTATGCAGCCTACCTGGAGTAGCCGAGAAGCCCGTCAAAAGGAAGCCTACCAACAATTCGGAGGGCTTTTAAAACACACTACGCTTCAACAGATGATAATCTATCAACATTTCAGGTAAACAAGTTCCTTTCTTAGTGGTATCTGCTTACTTGTGGTGTATGTATACCCTAAACCCGAAACCCTAACCGCTAAACCCTAAACCCTAAACCTAAACCCTAAAACATCTGGTGCCGGTACTGCATCTGCCTGAAGGAGCGCCACACAGCGAGCTCTTCGCAGGATGTGGTTCGAAAAGAGTTCCTGGTACCTGGGGGACAGCATGAACCCTAGAAGGGGTTATGGCCCCCTATACCTTAATAGGGTTTAGGGTTGAGGGTGTAGGTGGATCTGATCCCAACTATAGGCTTCACTTGGTGCTCAAGGTATATGCTGCCTTGCTGTCCAAGTCCTCGCCGGTTTTGGCAGCTATGGTCGACTCGGAGATGTTTGCTGAGGCACGACAGGCGCAGATGGTCATTACGGATTTTCCAGCCGCCATTGTGGAGCTCTTCCTAAAGTTTCTGTATCTTGCAGGCTCTTAGAAAGGAACTATAGTGCCCTGTAGAAGTCCACGACGTGAGGCAAGAAAAAAGTGTGTCTATATATATATATATATATGTATAGAGAGAGAGTATATATTTCCATACATATATATATATATATTCATTTATTTATTCATTCATTTACATATTGATCACAATGTCTATATGCCCATGTATATACCGGTGCCTGACTCCAAGGTACTCTGGAAGTGTGGAGGGAGGTGTCTTGGAGCTGACCCAGGTTGCCGCCATGGGAGATAAGTACCAGATCCCAGAGCTGGTTTCTCTCTGCACCGAGACTGGGATCCTGAGTAGGCCCGGAATTCCCTTTTTTTAGGGTTTGGGTTTGGGTTTAGGTTTAGGTTTCCTTACAAGCCCCTTTAAATCAAAAAGGGCGCCCCTTCTTATACCTAGGTTACTGTTGGGTCTAGGAGACTGTTTCGACTGCCTTCGTGGACGAGGAGGCCACTGTTGACGAATATTGCTGCAAAGTTTTCGAGTGCGCAGACCGCCTCGGATTAGCCAAGATTCGGGGCGACTCGAAGACCACCATCTTGCTCGATGACACGGGCAAGACTCTTCGCATGCACCCATCTCTCAGCCCGCGGCTGCTGTCGGAGATTTTGCGCTCAGAGTTTCTGTGCATCAGCAATGATGACCTTTCGACTTTGCTGCAATCCTGGGGCTCGGGGAAGAAGCGAAAAGCGGCGTCGATGGAAGAGGAGGGGGGGGAGGCTGACCAGCTGCAGCAGGTCATCGACGAGTGCTTGGCTCGGTTGCCGAGCCGCCGGCCTCCCCGAGATTGCGACGACGTTTTTGTTGCTTAGCGATAAGTTTCGAAGTTTTGGGTACTAGAATTCCTAAGGCACAGCTCAGCCTTTAAATTTTGCTAGGGTTCCGTCTTCAGTATAGGTTGAGCTTTGGCAGCAGTACCAGGCCAGCGGGGGAGGCACAGAGGGTTCCTTCCTCGGGCACTGGATGACGGTGATTCTGGGTGCCCCCAGCCGCCGTATTCTGCGTCAGCATCCTGATTGCGATGACCAGTGTGCGTTGCTCGAGTCTTGCGCATCGAATGGAATGTCGTTGGACCGTGGTGCAGAGCCAACACTCAAAATGAGCGGAAGCTCTGTGATTTGGATGCTCCCACGCCATTCTATTTGGGTGTACGGCTTTGAGTTCTTCAACAGGTCTGACCTGTCGAAGACGCATATCCGAATCTTTTGTGGGCAGAACGGTGTTGACTGGCATCTGACCTTTGATTCGACACGACACAAAAACCTCTTTGAGTGCGATCCACCTTATCATGCAGCGAGCTGGGCTGTTCAGTTGTCTTCTTCTTGCTATATTTTGTATTTCTGGGTTCTTAGTATACGACAAATCAAGGCCCCCACGAGTACACACTGTTTTCCCAAGGCTTAGCGAGCAACCTAGGTGAAGCAAATCAAGCTGCAAGTCTTGGAAGGAGAGTTCACCGACAGCGTCTCCGTACTAGGCATCCTCCACGAAGATTGAGGAAGCTACCCGAGGCCGCCCTGATGAAGGAAACGGAAGCTACCACTGCTACCAACACAACGCAGCTTTCCTTACGAGTTGAGCCCTAAAAGGGGCTGTGGTTCATACGTTTTTCACTGGGATTATAGCAATATATAGGGTATATGACCCCGCTTTTGGGATTTGGTCCCCAAGGTTCTTCTTGGAAGCCCAACCCCCACGCGACGACGACGAACAGCGAGTTGCCGCGGAAGCTTACAGACTGGTCCAAAGCCTCCCCCAAAGGGTCCATGTACCTATATAGTACATACTTGGGCCTTAAAGGGGTTCCTATATAGTAGCTTTAGGGCCCAAATAGATACTACATAGGTACATGGACCCAAAGCCTCCCATGGATTCTACGACCTCTCCAGCACAGTCTCGACTGCCGATGTAAAACACCTTGGGATCAAATGGACCCGATGGCTTATGGTTCATCTACCTGAGTCGGAGTTATAGTAGTGTAGGATACACGATCCCAATTTTGCCCTAAACCCTAAACCCTAACCCCTAAACCCTAAACCTCATTAAACCCTAAACACTAAACCCCGTTGCAGATCCCTCTAGGAGTACAGCCGTGCATTCCCTGGAGCCCTTTCTCAGAAACTGGAAGTCAGGGGCCTTCTAACCCTAAACCCTAAACCCTAAATCCTCAAGGGACCAAAGGAGAGACTCTTACAACAAACCTCAGAGACTATTTAGGTACATAGGGACTATATAAGGTATATGTAGGGGTTATACATTGGTTACATAGGGGGATAAGATTAAGGGTCCCTTCTAGGGGTCCCTTCTTATACCCTTTAAAATCCTAAACCTGACATCCTAAACCCTCAGGAAGCTGCTTCGTTACCCTGGGCCAGCCAGAAGGCCGAAAGGCTTTAGGTCTAAGGGCAGTAACATGGGGCCTTAATATGGTCTGCCAAGCATTGCGAAAACATGGGAACAAACTATGTATGGGGTTTGCGTGACGTCTCTAAGCCCCCTGAACCTTACGCCTTAAACCCCCGTGTAGTACAGCAAAACCCCAGAGCTCTAAAAAGATGAGCGTACCCGCCCGCCCGGGACGCACACATGCCAAGCATTTCGAAAAGCATGGGCAAAAACGACGTAGGAAGTTGGGTGCCAAGCTCGAAGCCGTCAAAGTCACGGGCAACCACTTCCAAACCCTACTTTCCGCGACGCGAGTAGTTTGCAAAAGTTGATTTTTCGCGGTGCCATCAAAACTACGCACAACCCCAGTGTCCGGCGATTTACGTTTGCAGCAAGGCCGACAAGGCGCCCTGAGGAGCGCAATCCTAGCAGTAGCAGTAGCAATCGCAGTGGCAGTAGCAGTAGCAGTAGGAGTAGGAGTAGTAGTAGTAGTAGTAGTAGTAGTAGTAGTAGTAGTAGTAGTAGTAGTAGTAGTAGTAGTAGTAGTAGTAGTAGTAAGAAGAAGAAGAAGAAGCAGAAGAAGGACGTGCTGAATTCCCCCACCCTTCATTGAAGCAGACCAGCTTAGGCATGCAGCCCAACCCTACAGAGAGATGAAACCCAAACCGAAGCCGGATGGTCAGTTCTCTAAAATATGGCCTCGTTTTTGGGTACCCTAATGAAGAGGGGACACCTTAAACTAGCAACCCCAAAAAGGGACCCTAAACCCTAAACCCTAAACCCCATTTTAGAGAACCCACCGTACAGCCACTTAGGTCATTCTCATTGCCACGCTCTGCAATCTCTGGGGCCCCGGCAAGGTCAGGGTCGGGTTACAAGTAGGGACACTGCTTAGAACTACCCACAAGCCTTGAATTGAGGGGTACCTGTAGGCTTGAGCTCTAAACGCGCCTATAACTCTTTAAGCCCTACACCCTACAAACCCCTAACCCCAAACCCTAAACCCTATAAACCCTAAGCCCTATAGACCCGTAACCCCTAAACCCTAAGTGTTTTCAGTTTTTTTCTTTTCGTATACATGGGGATCTGCAAGCTCCCGTGGGCACAATTTGGAGTTTGTGGATGTGGGGCTTTTGCCCCAAGATGATAGGGGGCCTAAGGACGGCCTTAGGGTTTAGGGTTTAGGGTTTAGGGTTTAGGGGATAGGAGTACTGCGAAGTAGGGCTTACGGCTTTGGATGTCGAAGAGCGTTTCGGGTTTAGGGCCCATCTAGGCCTGGAGGATGCGCGGGAGAGAGGATGTTTTGGGCTTTTGAAGGCAGAGGGTTTGCAGGGCTGTAGGGCCTTCCCTAAACCCTAAACCCTAAACCCTAAACCCTAAACCCTCAACCCTAAACCCTCAACCCTAAACCCTAAACCCTTCTCTTTGTAGAGACAAGCTCTTGAGACATGTAGGGAGAGGGGGTGTTCTGAAGGGGGCATGGTCCCATCGAGCCCCAAACTGTCAATCCTCAACCTTATAAGCCCTACTAAGAGCTCCCATGCGGGACCTGTTTAGGGTGGTCGACGATCCCCCGGCCCCAATTCCTAGCCCCAGGAACATCCAGGAACTACATTAGAGCCTTCAGGCAGACCTCCCTAAACCCTAAACCCCAAACCCGAATGGTGGTTTACGGTTTTAGGGGTACCTTATTGGGGTCCCTATAAGATTATATAGGGATCCTACTCTTTGGGGGGTCCCTTCTTATCGTAAACCCCCAAATGGCCGGGAGGCGCTTCAGGGCGCGGACCACGCGCATCTACATCAGGCCATGGCGTCATTGGGCTTTCACCTTCGTTTTTTGTTTTTTGCCGTCGGCTTGTGCAGTGCGGGGTTTAATCCCTTCCCCCTTTTATTAAATACCCCCCTAATAATAAAAATACTTTCCGGAAAAACCTCCCGAAACCGAGCCCGCCTTTTAAAACCTATTCCGAATTAGGGGGGGGGTTCAGGGCTCCTGAAACCCTGAAGCCAAGGAGGGTTTAGGGTCTAATTAGGGTTTAGGGTTTAGGGTTTAGGGCTTAGGGTTCATTTAGGGTTTAGGCTTCGGAGTCAAGGCTTTTCGCAGCACGAGGCTGTCTGCGGGCTGCCTGTCTGGCTGCCTGTGAGCCTGGCTCTCCTCAGCCTACCTCACTAGTCATCCTATATGCCAGATCTTTCCTGCCTGGCTGTCTTGCTACTCTAAACCCTACTTAACCCTAAGCCCTAAACCCTATGCCCTAAGCCCTAAACCCTATGCCCTAAGCCCTAAGCCCTAAACCCAAAGCCCTAAGCCCTAAACCCGAAACCCTAAGCCCTAAACCCGAAACCCAAAGCCCTGAGGCCTAAACCCTAAACCCTAGACCCTAAACCCAATGGCTGGCAGGAAAGACTGCCTGGCTGCCTACTGGAAGCAAAGGCCCAGCCACGAAAAGGGTGGGCCTGCCTGCCTGGCCTTTGCCAAAAAGTTTGCCCAGCGGAGGCCCTGTCGCTCAGCTTGGCTCCCTGCCTGCCAAGGGTTTAGGGTTTAGGCTTTAGGGGTTTAGGGGTTTAGGGTTTAGGGTTCAGGGGGTTTAGGCTTTAGGGGGTTTAAGGGTTTAATGAGGGGGTTTAATTAGGGGGTCGGGGGTTTAGGGTTGAATTAGGGGTGTTTAGGGTTCAGGGAGTTGCCCTGTCTGCCTGGCTGGCGTGCCTCTCTGCATCGTGCGCCATAGCCATCCAGGCATCCTGCCAGGAGGGTTTAGGGTTTTGTGTGTAGGGTTAGGGTTAGGGTCTAATTAGAGCACCTCTAAACCCTAACCCTAAACCCCGGTCAAGAGGGTCCTGCCGGGACTCCATGCAGCAAATCTTCCTCCCGATCAAGTGCAGCTCCTCCTGCCAGGGAATTAATTAGGGTGTTTAGGGTTTAGGGTTTAGGCGCGGCCTGGAGGTCTGCCAGGCTGGCTGCCTGACTGGCTGACTGGCTCGAGATCTCTTCCAGCAGCTGCACCACTCGGGTGTCCTGCCATAAACCCTAAACCCTAAACCCTAAACCCTAAACCCTAAACCCTAAACCCTAAACCCTAAACCCGTCTGCCTGAAAGGCTGTCTGCCCTGTCTGGTCTCCCGTGGCGACTGGCTGGGCTGCCTGCCGGAGGGTTTAGGGGTTAGGGTTTAGGGCTTAGGGTTTAGGGCTTAGGGCATAGGGTTTAGGGCTTAATTAAACCCGACAGCCTGATCCTGGGCTGTCTGCCAGGTCTGCTCCACTGCCTCCTCGGCCATGTCTGTCTGCCTGGCCAAAAGAGCCCCTAAACCCTAAACCCTAAACCCTAAACCCGAAACCCTCAGCCCTCAACCCTAAACCCTCAACCCTCAACCCAAAACCCACTGAATTTCAAAAGGGCCGCCCCCGGCCTGCAGAAGGTCTGTCTCTGCTGGCTGGGGCAAAAAGCAGCTGGCTTGAGCACTGCAAGCGACTTCCCCGTCTCTCTCTCTCTCTCTCTCTCTCTCTCTCTCTCTCTCTCTCTCTCTCTGGCCGGCTTTCGTTCTTTCGCAGCACGAAGCTGTCTGCGGGCTGCCTGTCCGGCTGCCTGTGAGCCTGGCTCTCCTCAGCCTACCTCACTAATTAGTCATACGATCTGCCAGATCTTCCCTGCCTGGCTGTCTTGCTACCCTAAACCCTAAACCGTAATTAAACCGTAATTAAACCCTAAACCCTAAGCCCTAAGCCCTAATTAAGCCCTAAGCCCTAAACCCTAAACCCTAGACCAGGCGGGAGAGACTGTCTGGCTGGCTGTCTAGTTGCAGCACACAGCCAGCCACGAAAATGGTGGCCCTGCCTGCCTGGCACGAGCTAAAAAAGCCAGCCAGCGAACTCCGTGCTTCTCTGCCTGGCTCTGTGCCTGGCAAGGGTTTAGGGTTTGGGGGTTTAGGGTTTAGGTTTTCTTGGGTTTAATTAGGGTTCAGGGGGTTGAAGGTGTTGGGCTTAGGGTCTGGACCTGGCTGACGTGGCGTTGCGTGTCCTCGTCGAAGCTCATCCATGCATCCTGCCGGGGCGGCTTTTTGATTTAATTAGGAATCAGCGTTTCGGGGTTTGTCTGTCTGTCCTGTCGCCTTTCGGCACACGTGACCTTCTTTGCCACGATCTTCAGTTCCTCCTGAAGAGCAGGGGCCCTAATGAACCCGACCGAAACCAAGCCCTAAACCGAAACTCAGCCCTGGGCCCCCTAAACCCTAAACCCCCAAAGACTTGCCTGCATGCCTTCCAAGATGGCTGTCTGGCTAGCCACGGTCTCCTGGACAGAGCGGGTTTAGGGTTTAGGCCTGAGGGTTCAGGGTTTCGGGCTGCCTGGAGCTGTTCTGTCTGGCTGGCCAGCTGAGTCAGCAGCTGCACGACTGGGCTGTCTGCCTGCCGGAAAGGAAGTGTTTTGGGGGGTTTAGGGTTTATGGTTTAGGGCTGGCCGGACCTCGACTGCTGTCTGGTCCACCAACTGTTGCAGCAGTTGCACGACTCGACTGTCTGCCTGCCGGAGACCAACCATGAAACCCTAATTACACCCTAGACCTTAGAGAAACCCTCATGCAGCCTGTGTCGGGGCTGTCTGGCTGCCTGCTGGCTGTTCCTGCCAGAAGCTGTCTTTTTGTTGGGGTGACGGTTCAGGGAGGTGTCGCTGCACTGCCTGGCTTGCCTCTGCGACGGGAGTCAGGGCTGCAGCTTCCATGTCTGCCTGTCCCAGTCAGGTTTAGGGTTTCGGCTTTAGGTTTAGGGTTTCGGGCTTGCCCCAGCCTGCACGGGCTCTGTCTGCACTGGCTGGGGCCACAGGTCTTGCTCGTTTGAGCAGTGCTGCACGGGCAGCTTGTTTGTTTTCTCTGTCTCCGTCTCTCTCTCTCTCTCTCTCTCTCTCTCTCTCTCTCTCTCTCTCTCTCTCTCTCTCTCTCTCTCTCTCTCTCTCTCTCTCTCTCTCTCTCTCTCTGGCTGTCCCCCCCCGTCCCCCTGAAGCTGCAAGGACTTTCACTCTTCGGACTGTGAGTGAGCTGTCTGGCTTGCAAGGGCTGCAGCTCGTCGGCGGTCGGTTCTGCCTGCCCGGAGCATGTCTCATTCACCAACTGGGGAGAGAGGTCAGTCTGGAGCGTGTGTGCAGAAACACGGAGAGAGCAGAAAGAACACAGCATTTTTTTCTGTCTGTTGCTGTCTTGCTGTCAAGACTATCTACCTGTCTGGCTGTCTGTGCACTGCCTGGCTACGGGGGCACCCAGCTGGGGACTGGGGCCCCGTGTGGCTTGCAGCCTCGGCAGAAGTGAGGCCAGTGTCCGTCTATCTGGCTCTCCATTCTCTTGTTGCAGGGCTCTTTCTGGCACTGCAAGCATGCAACCACACAGAAGTACGTCTTCTGACTGTCTGACCATCTGCCTCGGCCACCTGTTCGGCTCCGGTAATGGACATAGACCAGGCCTGTCTTGGGAATCTCGACTGAGTTGTCTGTCTGGCTGGAGTAGCTCCAGCTGCCACGGCTCCACTGCCACGACTTCCACCGGCTGTCCTGGCTGTCTGCCTGGACAGTGCTGTCTGCCTGGACAGTGCTGTCTGCCTGGACAGTGCTGCCGGGGTCTGGCTGGCTGCGAGGACCCATCTTGCCCCGACTCGCACTTCTTGCCCTGGAACCCGAGCCTGTCTGGGAAGCCGACTGTGCCTGGTGTCTGTCTGGCTTTGGCACACTGACATTCAGAAGGCTGTGCAGCAGGCTGGCTCTGGCTGCCGGGTCCGCCTGGCTGAGTGTCTCCTCCAGGTCTTGCTCACTGGCTGTGGCCAAGAGCTGCACGGCGTCTTCCAGAGCACGGGACATGGCTGGCAGTCTTTCGTCTTTCTCTACAGTCTAGCTGTCCCTGTCTGTGTCTAGGTGTCCGTGTATCTGTCTGCTTTCTCTACACTGTAGCTGTCTGAGCAGCTTCGGCGAGGGCAGCTGCGACTGACAAAGTCTGACTGCATCTGTCTCAAGCAAGCACTCGCCCCGGCCTGAACTGGCTGTGTTCGGCGACCCAAGACGAAGCTGGAGAGGGCCTGGCAGCAGAGGTTTTTGTTTGGGCTCAGGTCCTCTGCTGTGACTGGGACGTGGCTGACTGGCTGCAAGCGAGTGCACAGAGCTGAGCTTCATCAAAGCTGTCGTTTGCAGGTCATAATGAGAAGTTGCTTCATGAACTAACTTCTGAACTTAATTAAGTAAGCTCTCGAGACGGATATCAGGAGCCAATGTCCAGGACCCTGCGATCAGGTTCGAAATCGAATCTTCATGTAAGCCGTGGTACTAAGAATCGACGAATTGCGACTAGGTCTGGAAAGGTCTGAAATCTCGAGACCTCGAACCATTTTTATTATTAGGGAGCCATGGAGCCAATGTCCAGGACCCTGCGATCAGGTCCGAAATCGAATCTTCATGTAAGCCGTGGTACTAAGAATCGACGAATTGCGACTGGGTCTGGAAAGGTCTGAAATCTCGAGACCTCGAACCATTTTTATTATTAGGGAGCCATGGAGCCAATGTCCAGGACCCTGCGATCAGGTCCGAAATCGAATCTTCATGTAAGCCGTGGTACTAAGAATCGACGAATTGCGACTAGGGCTGGAAAGGTCTGAAATCTCGAGACCTCGAACCATTTTTATTATTAGGGAGCCATGGAGCCAATGTCCAGGACCCTGCGATCAGGTCCGAAATGGAATCTTCATGTAAGCCGTGGTACTAAGAATCGACGAATTGCGACCAGGTCTGGAAAGGTCTGAAATCTCGAGACCTCGAACCATTTTTATTATTAGGGAGCCATGGAGCCAATGTCCAGGACCCTGCGATCAGGTCCGAAATCGAATCTTCATGTAAGCCGTGGTACTAAGAATCGACGAATTGCGACTAGGGCTGGAAAGGTCTGAAATCTCGAGACCTCGAACCATTTTTATTATTAGGGAGCCATGGAGCCAATGTCCAGGACCCTGCGATCAGGTCCGAAATGGAATCTTCATGTAAGCCGTGGTACTAAGAATCGACGAATTGCGACCAGGTCTGGAAAGGTCTGAAATCTCGAGACCTCGAACCATTTTTATTATTAGGGAGCCATGGAGCCAATGTCCAGGACCCTGCAATCAGGTCCGAAATCGAATCTTCATGTAAGCCGTGGTACTAAGAATCGACGAATTGCGACTGGGTCTGGAAAGGTCTGAAATCTCGAGACCTCGAACCATTTTTATTATTAGGGAGCCATGGAGCCAATGTCCAGGACCCTGCGATCAGGTCCGAAATCGAATCTTCATGTAAGCCGTGGTACTAAGAATCGACGAATTGCGACCAGGTCTGGAAACGTAGGTTTTCTGTAATTAGAGACGGTTTCATGGTTCCCTCAAAGCTCCGTGTCCGGCCTCTGAGTAGTGGCTGTCTTTCGAGCAGGAGGACCGAGCCTGGCTGGAGAGTTCTTTGGACAGCACCGGTTCAGGTTCAGGGTGTGGGATTCAGGGTTTAGGAGGCACAGGCCTCCCTGCAGCAGAGCTGGCTAAGCCTTGGCTTTGGCCTTGCCCTTAGCTTTGGCTTTAGCTGCCTTGGCTTCGGCTTTTGCCTTGGCTTTGGCCTCTGCCTTAGCCAAGGCTGCGGCTTTCGCCTTGGCTTTCGCCTCTGCCTTCGCCTCTGCCTTGGCCTTAGCTTCCTGGCTGGCTTTGTAGTTCAGGAACTGGGTCTTGTTGCAGAGCATGCAACCTGCCAAAACGAAGCCACACTTGTCACAGCCGAAAGCCTTGTCTGTCTTGTCAGCCTTGCCGGTCTTGGCTGCAGCAGGTGCCAGGCCGGAGCCCGGCGTGGACACGGAAAGGTCTGGCTTGTCAGTACTGTCCGTCTTTGCTGCAGCAGGCAGGCCGGAGCCCGGCGGCGACACGGAAAGGTCTGGCTGCTCGGCACTGCCAGTCTTTGGTGCCTCAGGAGGCGGGCCCGGCTTGTCTGACTTCTGGCCCTTCTGCTGGAGCTTGGCTAGCTGTCTGGTTCGCAGCAAGCACTGTAGCCAGCGGTTGAGCTGACTGGTCCTGGCATGCAGGTCTTTCGGGAGAGGCTGCGGCGACTCCCCCAGCCACTGTCTCCACTCTTTCTCAAGGTAAAGCAACAGCCACAGCCCACAGCTAAAACCGTCCGACTGCCTCAGCTGGCTGACTGGGGCTGGCAGAGGCTTGTGCTCCTGCTTCGCCACCTGTAGAAGCACCTTCAGGACTGCGGAGGCTTCATTGTAGCTTGCCTGGCTGGGCAGTGTGTCGTAGTACCTCACCTCGACTTGCTGGCTGCCTTTCTGTCTCTCCAGAGCGAGCAGGCTCCAGTGTCTGGGTGGCTGACTCTGAACCACGGCCAAGAGCAGAGTGGCCCTCTTGGTGTCCTGCAACAGACTCACTGCCTCAGGGCTCAAGCTGCCTGGGCCCTCCTGCAGCAGAACTTTCAGCTCGGCTGGCAGCTGCAGGGTCAGGCTGTCTGGCAAGCCGCCTGCTGACAGTCTGTGCGACATCTCTCTGATGCCTGCCAGCAGCTGACTGTCTGACAGCAGGTCGCCGTGCCTGTACATCTGCAGGTCTGACAGCCTGACTTCTTCCTCTCTGGCTAGCAGTGCTGGGAAGGCCTCGTAGTCCAGCTGCACAGGGAAGACTCTGTCTCCCACATCCAAAGTGATGTCTGACTGCTCCAGCCAATGCTGTGCGCCGTCGAACTGCACGAGGACTTGGCGGTCTGTCTGCCTGCCACACAGCACCACCATGCCTCGGAGGCTGCCTGTCGCCAAGTCGCCAACAACTCTGGCTGTCTTGCCAAAAAGGTCTCCCTCAACTGCTGCCTCGGCGGAGGCTTGCTTGCTGTCTGCCGCCTTCTGCTGGCTTTTGTGCCGCATTTTCAGGGCCATCTTGACGGCCAGGCTGGGCTTGTCTGTTGCGGAAGGCTTTGTCTTGCTGCCAGGGTTCGTCTTCTTCTTGCTCTTTGCCTTCTTCTTGTCTGCCTTCCCTGCTTTGGGAACCACGAACTGCAAGGCCTGCTTGGCTGTCTTGCCAGCCTGCTGCTCTCGCCACCTCTTCAGAAGCTTCCTCCGGAGTCTGGTTTTTTTTCTGCTGCTTGTCTTTGCGTCTCTTCTTCTCCTGCTTCTCTGGCTTGCGTTGGCTGGTCGTGTCCTCCACCATCTTCTCGAAAAGCTGTCTTCTCTCGCTGGGGTGAAGCTGCTGCAGCACGGCGTTCCTCAGCTCTCTCTCTGTCTGCGCCAGCACAGTGGGACTCGCGTGGAAGTCCAGGAGGATGCCGTTCTTCTCATACTGGGAGAGCAGGTAGGAGGACTCGGTCTCGAAACCTCCACCTGTCTCTGCTTCCTTCAGCTCCTCCTCTGTGAACGGAACAACTCTGCCTGTCTCGTCCACCCAGCGGGACCTGTCCCTCAGGAGGTCGCTGCCTAACTTGTCGCTGCCTTCGGGGAAGTCTGCACACCAGCTTTGGCTGCCACACTCCTTCAGGAGACCTTCACTGTCGGGTCTGTAGCGAAACCAGCCTGCCTCCCTCATGCACCGAAGAACTGTCTGCTCTTTGTCGTTGAGAGCCACCATTCTCAAGTGCATCTCTCTGGCTGCCTCGAGGATGTCTGCCGGCCCTGTCCGGTAGGTGCAGTGCACCCCTTCCTGTCTGGCTTTCGCTCGCATGCGCTGCTTCAGGTCTTCCTGCCATCTGGCTAGAGCTGCCTTGGCTGGCTGCGCGAAGCCTGTGTCTGTCACTTGGGTGAGGCCTGTGCAGCCTGCGGCGATGCCTGTCTGTGCTCGCTGCAGCACGGCAGCGGCCTGCATGGACTCTTCTGTCCAAGCTCCTGCGAACATGTCCACTAGCTGCACTGCCTGTCTGTGCTCCTCTGCCTCGAGCTCTAGCTGCCATCGGTAGATCACACTGTCTACAACGGCCGCTGGCTGGCACCACACTCTGACTGCACCGTCGACTAAGAGGTGTGGCTTGCTGGCTCGGAGCTTCCTCCAGCTTCGCATGATACTGCCTGGCACAGGGGTGCCTGCCTTTCGGTGGACTGTCTTGCTGCCTACCACGAACTTCTCTGTCTTCACCCACGTGCCGGCTGGACTGATATTCTCCAGCCGGCAGTGCTTCCCGTACACGACGAGAATCGTGGGCATCACCACACCAACAGGCTTTCTGTCTGGCGAGAAGTAATGCCTGACTGCCTGTCTGGCAACGAGGGAAACTCTCCACCTGGCTGGCACCCCTGGGGCTCTGGCTGCCTTTCCTAGTCTTGCTGCGGCTTTCGGTCCTGCCTTGGCTTTGGCTGTGGGTCTGCCTGTTGCAGCTGCTGTCTTCCTGTCTTTCGTCCGCTCATGCCTGAGCCGCCTTTGCTCGCTGGCTAGCTGGAGCCTGAGAACCGACATGACCACCTTGCCCGGGCTCGGCTTGAGCCAGGCTGGAATCTGGTCTGACATCGTCACGGCTGTCTCCTGTCGGTGGGCAACCCATGCCTCAAAGTCTCTGACCGGCAGGGTCTCGTTGGCTGTCGGGCTGGCTGCCTGCTGGAGAAGGAGGTCCCAGAGCCTCCAGGCTGTCTCCAGTCTGGCTTTCTCTTTCTCCAATTTCAGGTTTGCTGTCTGCTGGGAAGTTCGACTGCGAAGGCCGCACTTGGCCATCAGCTTGACCTTGTACTTCTCTCTGGCTTTCTTGTTGTTTGCCAGGCTGGCTTGCTTCTGCTTCATGGCTGCCAGCTCTCGCTTGCCTGTCTCGTCCAGGGTGCCTGCTTCCTCTTCTGCCTCCCTGAGGGCAAGGGCTGTCTGGAGCCTGTCTTCGAAGTCCATCAGCACGTCTCCAGCTGTCAGGACATGCTGGTTGGCTTCCTCCACAAGGGCCCAGGCTCTGGTTTGGAACCAGACTGGCCTCAGGTAGTCTGGCTTGCCTAGCGCCTTGCCCTCACTAGCCACTCTCTTGCCTAGTGACTTGCTGACCAAGTGCACAAGGCCCAAGTGGCTGCCAGGCTGTCTGAGACTCTTGCCCAGCCTGCTCTTGGCAAGAAAGTCCTGGACTTTCTGTCTTTTTGCCTGCCTCTGAAGGTTCCAGCAGAAGGTCTCGCTGACACCGTAGTGCTGCATCACATGGAGTCTGGCTTGCCTTTTGCTGCTTTTTGCTATCGCTAGCCTGTCTAGCTCTTCCATCATGCCAAGCTTGGCCATGGCTGGCACGTCTGCTCTTCGTTTCCTCAGCTCGGGCACTGCCTTCACTTTGGTCTTGCTGCCTCGGGGCCTTCCCGCCTTTTTCCTAGCAAGAACACGTACGACTGGCGCGAGGTCAAGCCGTTCTGCCGCTTGCTTTGCTCTCTCCTGCAAGTCTTGCATCCTCTGCTCTTGCTGCTTTTGCTGTCTCTCGGTTGCTGTGTCTGGCTTGAGGTCTGCCTGTGCCTCAGGCTTTCTTGCTTTACCCCAGAGGTAGTCCAGACTGTAGTACACTGGACTGTCTTTGTCTAGGGACTTCTTGAGATGTTCTACCTGTCTGCTTCTCACAGCCGAGGGGTCGCTGTCTGGGCTCTCGAAAAGCCTTTTCTTGGGGGGTGGTGTGTCAAAGCTGCCCACCCTCTTCACACCCGCCCCACCCGCTGTTGCTGGTGTTGCTGCTGTAGAGCTGTCTGGTGTGTCAAAGCTGTCTTGTCTCACCAGCTTCCCGTCTGTGCTGGGTGACTCTAGACTGCTAAGACTGTCTTGTCTGGCGACTAACTGCACTCTCGCTCTCTGGCCAGTCTCGGCTGTCGTGCTGTCTGCTGTGTCCTGGACAGCACAACACAAAAGCACCAAACTGCAAAGGCCTCTCACCGTCAGGCCTGCTCTTGCGACACGGCAGCCTCGGGGAGGCTGTCTGTCTCGTCCTGGCCACAAGGGAACTTGTAGGAATAGCATTTACTGTCTTGTCTCAAGACTGCCTGTGCTCTGAGGGCGGTTGCCTTCTCCAGCTCGGCAAGGGCCCTTAGAAGGGCTGCCTTGAGCTCTGCCTGCCAATGTCTCTCTCTCTCTCTCTCTCTCTCTCTCTCTCTCTCTCTCTCTCTCTCTCTCTCTCTCTCTCTCTCTCTCTCTCTCTCCCTGTCAAAACCAACTCCAGTCTCTGCCCCTGCCTTGGACTTCTGACTGGCTTCGGGAGCCATGGCTGCGAAACAGCCAGCAGTCTCTAGGCTAATTACTTACCTGTGTTGCAGTCTTCTGTCTGTCTCAGTGGTCTGAGTGGGTGTGTGTGTGTGTGCGAGTGAGAGACAGAGTGACTGAGTGAGTGAGTGAGTGTGTGTGTGTGTGTCTGTCTCCGTAGCTCTGTCTGAGCCTCGCTGTGCTGCGAAAGTTGAGCTCTCCCCTTCTCTCTGTCTCCTGTCTCTCTGTACAGCACAATGAAGTACTTCATTACTTGAGTAACCCTGAAGTCTAATTTGGCGACATTTCGATAAAAATACCCCCTAATAATAAAAATACTTTTCGAATTTTTAAAGGGGGGGGGGGGGGGGCCCCCCGTTTAATATTAGGGGGAAGGGATTAGGGCTTAGGGTGTTTAGGGTTTGATGAGGGTGTGGGGTTTTAGGATTTTAGGGTTTAGGGCTCAGGGTGTGGGTTTAGGGTTTTATGCCCCAGGCGTTCCCGTCATCACGGGCCCTTTGACCCCAAATCCTAAACCCTAAACCCTAAACATATAATATCACGAACCCTGAACTCACGGGGCCGTAAGCAAAGTAGCGGGCGATGGTTGACCTCTCAGGGGTTGCGTTTGAGGTTGGTTGCCAAGGTTTTTACAGGTTCTAAGGTGCGAAGACGAGGGCCTAAAGGGGGAGGGTTTAGGGCTTATAGTGTTTTTTGGAGTTCATAGGGTTGAGGGTCTATAGGTTTTAGGGTCTATGGGGCGAAGACGAGGGCCCAAAGGGGGAGGGAGGACGGGGAGGGGTTCGCAGAGCCGTCCATTATCAAGAACAGTGCTTTTTGCTTACTACTTGATTCATATGGCCAACTTGCGTTTTAGCTATATATACAACGGGTACCCAAACGTGATGGTTCCAGGGTCTTAGTGCACCTACGCCGGCGTCTGGCGTCACTAGTTTGCTGCTTTCTTGCCTGTCATTTGAACCGACCTGCTCTAAACCCGAAAGCCTAAATCCTAAACCCTAAACCTAAACCTTAAACCGCTCAAGGTTTCAGGGTTTGGTTCATATAGGGCTTTCAAAGGCTGGCCGTCTAGACCCTAAGCATCTATGAGGCCTACCCCCTAAACCCCGTAGGGGTTTAGGGTTTAGGGCTAGCCGGGTTTAGGGCCTAGGGCTTTAGGTTTAGGGTTTAGGGTTTAGGGTTTAGGGTTTAGGGTTTAGGGTTTAGGGTCTAGGGTCTAGGGTTTAGGGTTTAGGGTTGAGAGCCCGGAAGTTCCTCAAAACCTTTTCATAAGCCTAAAGAGCCCCTACGGACAGGCCATCGAGGTGCTTGAGCAAGCCCAGAAGGATGGACCCGTACTGGCTCTTTTGGTGGAATAGGGTTTAGGGTTTGTCGTGTAGGGTTTAGGGTTTAGGGTTTAGGGTTTAGGGTTTAGGGTTTAGGGTTTAGGGTTTAGGGTTTAGGGTTTAGGGTTTAGGGTTTAGGGTTTAGGGTTTAGGGTTTAGGGTTTAGGGTTTAGGGTTTAGGGTTTAGGTACTGGCTCTTTTGGTGGAAGGGGAGGGAATTTTGGTACCCTATATCCCTCTCTATGTACCCCCTGGAGGACTTAGGGTTTAGGGTTTAGGGTGCAGGGTTTAGGGTTTAGGGTTTAGGGTTTAGGGTTTAGGGTTTACTTTCAGGGGTACACGGAGAGTGCTTTTAGGGCTTTAGGGGTTTGTAGGGTTTTTATAGGGTTTTTATAGAGTTTTATACAGGGTTGCAAAAGGCTTTATAGGGTTTTAGCTTTAGAGCTTTAAGAGCTTAGGCCTACTAGGCACCCTTATGAAGCGGAAGCCTCCAGTGGCACGGCGATCAACACCGCGGCATTGAAGCAGCCCGACAAGAGGTCGCGCCGAGCGCCACTCGCCTTTCAGACTGGGCACATGTCATGGGGATGACGTCAAAGGGACCAGCCGGCATACCAGGAATGTTGGAGAAGAACCTGTCTGCCACAAATCTCCCTGATCTCCGGCCACAGCTTCTCCAGTGGTTCCGCCTATCCAAAACAATGCCTCGAATGTTGTTTCATGTGGTTTGGTCCGCCCGGGTTCAGGGCTTAGGGAATCAAATCATCAGTCCTGTTTAGCCCCCTGCGAAGATGCGGGGTTCATGGATGGACACCTCTTAGAATTAGAGATCGGTTTTGAGCGGCTTGGGTTTAGGGTTTAGGGCTTCTTTTTTTGGAGTTTAGGGTTTGGGGTTTATAGGTCCTATAAACCCCAAACCCTAAACTCCAAAAACCCTATATTACAGGATTTGGGAGGCAAAGGGTTTCGGTTTAGGGTGTTTAGGGTTTCGGGGCCCGAATGGGGGGCCCCCAACTTCCTGAATATCGATTTTTCCGTGCTGGGCAAACAGGCGTACGTGGGTCGCTAGGGGTTATGTAGGGTTCATATACGGTTTATAGGGTTTATATAGGGTTTATAGGGTTTATGTAGAGTTTAGGGTTTAGAGTTCATATACGGTTTAGGGTTTATACAGGGGTACAGGGTTTATGTAGGGTTTAGGGTTTCAGGTCTAGACCAGCCTAGTAGTACCCTTATTCCCTTTTTTGGTGGGTTTAGGTCCCTTCTAAGCCCCCTCTAAACAAAACGGGGGGGGGGGGGGGGCCGTGTATGGCGTTTTAGAGTAGCCTGCTCTTCCATTCCTACAAGGAGGGGCCCCCTTGGTATAGTAGCTATAGATAAGGGACTTATAACCTGAGTTAGGATCCTAGGGACCCAATTTAAGGTCCTTACAACTCTACTTATAACTAGGGGGCCCCTCCTGGTACCACTAGAACCATGAGCCTCAATGCCTCAACTTCTAGGAAACTTCGTAAGGTAACGCTTAGGGTTCAGACCCAAGCTTAGGCCACAAATGGACCTCCACCCAGATTCTGTGCACCTGTTTGAGCCCTAAACCCTAAACCCTAAACCCTAAACCCTAAACCCTAAACCCTAAACCCTAAACCCTAAACCCTAAACCCTAAACCCTAAACCTAAACCCTAAACCTTAGAGGAAGCTATGCGCTTCTTCATCATGGGGCTGTTCTGCTACTTCATGTCCACAATCTTGGTGGGGGGCCTTTTCGAGGGTTGAGGGCTTCGGGTTGCAGGCCTAGACCCTAAAGCCTAAACCCTAAACCCCAAAACCCAAACCCTACACCCGAAACCCTAAACTGACTCGGTGTCAGATTTCGGATTTCGGGTTGACAGGGTTCAAGGCACCCTAAACCATCTACCCTGCGCCCTACACCCTAAAGTGGGTTTAGGCCTTTGCGGCCTTCCCAGTCCTCCTACTACTGCGTGGGATTGGTGAGCCGGTCTGGGCTGGTGTTGAGGCTGTTCGGGCTTCAGGTGAGTAGGAGGGTGACCCTTAAACCCTAACCCCTAACCCCTAACCCCTAACCCCTAAACCCTAAAGGGTTCGGAGTTCGGGATAGAAGAGGGCTCAGCTTCTCTGCACATTCAACTCCCCCCAAGTTCGCTGCAGCTGAGGGGTATCCACACTGCCCCGCGCCCTTTTCGGACACTGTAATTGAGGGTTTAGGGTTTAGGTTTTAGGGTGTAGGGTTTAGGGTTTTGGCTTTAGGCTTTAGGCTTTAGGCTGTAGGCTTTAGGCTTTAGGCCTTAGGCTTCAGGCCTTCTAGCACCAGGAGTAGGCCCTTATTGTTTTTGGTTTAGGGTTAAGGGTTTAGGGTTTATAGGGTTTAGGGTTTAGGGTTTAAGGTTATAGGGTTTAGGGGTTAGGGTTTTGGGGGGGAAGTTTTTTTGGGGAACTCAACACCCCTACGGTGTCTACAGCCTGAACTCTAAAACCCTGAACCCGAAAGCCTATAAACCCTAAACCCGATTCCCTTTTTTTAGGGTTGGGGTTCCCTTATAAGCCCCTTAAAACCAAAAAGGGCACCCTTTTTCTTCTTAGGCTACTCTTGGGTCACCCTAAACCCTAAACCCTAAACCCTAAACCCTAAACCCTAAACCCTAAACCCTAAACCCTAAACCCTAAACCCTAAACCCTAAACCCTATACTCTAGTCTTTCTTCTTCTGCATGCTCGCCCAGGTGGTTTGGCTGCTCTTCGACAAGACCGGTGCCTTTATCACCACGGTAGCCCGGCATCGCTTGGTCGAGTCCCTAAACCCTAAACCCCCAAGCCTAAAACCCTAAGCCCTAAACTCCAGTCTATGTCTATATCCGAAACCCTGAACCCTAGCCCTAAACCCTAGCCCTAAACCCTAGCCCTAAACCCTAATCCCGAAACCTCAAACTCTAAACGCGTCTGCTACCCTCTAAGCCAGGTCATCCTCATCTTGTTCTGCCTCATGCTGGTACGTCAGAGCTTGGTCATACGCCTGGAACTCGGATTTTGGATTCAAGGTGGTTCAACGTTTCAGAATTTTGGATTTTAGGGTTAGGGTTTTGGGTTTAGGGTTTTAGAGTTTAGGGATTAGGGTGCAGCTTTCGCCCAGCAACCCCTTTAGGGATGATGCAGTCTGTGGCTTAGGGTTCTTATGGGTTTCGTAGGGCTCTTGGGTTCGTAGGGTCTTTCGGGTTCTTCAACGATCGCGAAGCCCTGCGGCAAACGATCGGAGGCTCGCGTTGGTCCGTGCGCAGAATGCTGTGTAGTTTTGGCCCGGCAAAAGGATGGGATAAGGGGGTTTACGAAAATAGGGGACCCCGAATATAGACCTACACATTTTTAGTAGGATTCCCTCATCATAAGGACCCCAATAATAAAGGCACCCCTCATTTCGGAAACCCCATATTCAGGTCCTTAGAACTCAGGTTTCAAGGTTTAGAGACCGTGCAGAATGCAGACGTTGCCTGTAGAAGGCATCATAATCCCAAAAAGACCTTCCTCGCCACCCACGTTACGCCTGTTGTGCGTCCAGACCGCTGCCAGACGTTCATGTGCTGCCGCCACCTTGATGTCTCTAGGATTGCCCATGCATTTTGCAGAGAAGTCGTTTCCTGACAGTCGTCCTGTAGGCTACTTCCACTCCGATGCGCATAGCTACTAAGTTATTTGAATACTCTACGCAGGCATATTCTTCGAGTGAGAATCAAATCCAGCAGGATCCAAACACTGGGAGTGCCTCATGCGTGGGCTGCCGCGTAGGGTGGCCGGTTTTCCTGTTGCGTGAAGGTCCTCCTGTGTTTTTTTTCAGACGTGTATGCGTAGCGCACATGCTGGGAGCCATGCATTGAGAGGCGATGCAACTTCAGCGTTGAAATTGAAATGAAAGTTCCCACTTCTCGGCTCGCGGAGTCGCCCAGCCGCATCGTGAAGCTCAAATGGGTGGCTGTCAAAATTATGATCCCTTTTGGGGTACCCTAAATATTAGGTGCCGTATTATAATAGGGATCCAAAAAGGGACCATAATTTTGACAACCACCCAAATGTATAAGCGATAGTGGCACTGAAGGTAGGTTTCAGTTTTGCCGATTGGTGCCATGGCGACCGGCGCAACGTGCCAGCCTTTGGCCTGGGCTACTGAAGATCCACCTCATGGGAACCCAAGCCATATCTGGGAATGTCGCGCGCGCGTTGTGTTGCCTTGTGTAGCACAACCGGCCACAGACACACGGGCCAAGTCTAGAACACTGCGGTCTGGCAAAACCCCCAGACCAAGAAATAACATCTTGCGGTTTAAAGTTGTAGCGGACCCAGAGTTGGGACTTATCCCCTTTTCTTAGGGTTTGGGTTCCTTTCTAAGCCCCTTTAAGCCAGAAAGAGAACCCATGCTTCTTGCTAGGTTACTCTGGGGTCTAGGCAGGGGGTTAAACCCTAAACCCTCAACCCTAAACCCCATTGGGTGGACTGAGGCCGAGCTTTCGTGCCCAATCAGGGTTTCACCACCGGCCTCATTCGCGGAAACCCGGTTCGAAGCGAGATCTCCCGCGACTACGAGTGACAAAGCGTACTTGGGTTTAGGGTTTAAAGGTTTAAGGTTTAGGGTTTAGGGTTTAGGGTTTAGGGTTTAGGGGCTGTGGTTTGCAGGGTTTGAACTTGAGGTTTTAGGGTGGCTGTAGGGCTTCGGGGGTGTAGGTCAAGGGATTCGAAGGCTGTTGGTTGTGCCCGGTCTGGGTGTGCCTTTCGGCCAGGGTTACGGGTTTAGGCTTAAACCGTACTTCCCGAACACCCGTTTAGGGTTTAGGGTTTGGGGTTTAGGCTTTAGGGTTGTAAGAATATGTTTACTAATTGGGGGTTTCTTATGCGACAAACAGTCGAAGCAGGGTGGGGATGGGCCAAGGTTTGGGGAATGCAAGGGTTCAGGATGTTTAGGGAAGTAGGGCTGCGAGGGCTGTCGGTGGTCAAGGGACATAATGTCAACCCCAAACTAGGAATATACCTGCTGGTTTCCTTTTTTCCTTAGTCTTCCTACTACTATATTCTTGGGGTTCCCTGTCTGGGGTTCTCGTTAGCATCCTCTTGCGGGGTGTTGGTGTTGTGCAGAGAATGTCCAGCCCAACAGACACAGAATGGCAGGCCCATGGCTTGTAAGGGTTTTTTTTCGGGTTTAGGGTTTAGGGGACCCACGCCCCCCCCCCCCTTCGCCCCCAAAAGATTGTAATCTTCCTTATAAGGGTAACATAGGGATTGTTTTTTTTGGGTGGTTCTAAAGTAAATAGTAGGGATTTTACAAAGGGTTTTGGGCACGTAGCCTTTTTTTATAAGTTGAATCTTAAGTGGCACAACATGAAAAGTACAACAGGGATCCGAGTAGATTTCAGCAGGCTATGGGTTGAGGAATTCATAGTCGAGGCTTTGCGATGTACCGTGGAGGATTCCAAGTTTAGGGTTGATTTGGCTGTAGGGCCTTAGGGCTTTAGGTTGAAGTTACAGAGCCTTAGGCCCTTTTTTTTATGTAGGAATAGGGATACCCTCTAAAGGTGACCGCTCCAAGGATCCCTTGACAGGGTATCCCTTCCTGAGAAACCTTGAGCCCTAAACCCCTTCCCTCCCTGGCGCAAGGTCCTTCGCCTGCCTGTTGAAGCCTTTAGGCCCAAGCTCTCGAAGTCCACATCCTGCAGCTTTCCTTTAAGAGCCCTCTTAGGCTTGAGCCAAGAACCCTCGACACCCCGAACCCCAAACTTTAGAAAACCCGACACTTTGAAAACAGATCCCAAACTTTGGAACCGTAAGCCCTATAAACCCTAAGCCCTCAACCCGAAGCTACAAAAGGGTTTTCCCGAGCCTCATTAGACTCTTAGACTCATCCGCAACCCCCGTGCGTGATGGCGACGATATCTGCCGGCCCGGAGCTCATCGTCACTAAAGGGCTCCAGGTACCTGTAGAGTTTGGGATGTTCCCCCCTTATACTAACAGTCCTTCATAGGGATTATCATTGGGGGATGCGAGAATCCCTCTTAAGGACTGTTCGTATAACGGGGAACATCCTACCCCTTCGGCTTCCTAGAGTAGCCAAGATGTCCGCACGTAAGGGTGTCTGGTCAGAAGGGGCCAGGGCCTCCTAAACCCTAAACCGTAGACCCTATACCCCATACCCTATCAACCCTGAACCCCGAGATGCGGTCTGAGGACTGCGCTGGTAGTCATACCTAAACCCTAATAAACCCTAAACCCTAAACCCTAAATCCCTTCTTCATCCGCGTTGCCCGAGCCACGCTACCAAGCACCCGCAAGAGACTCTGAAACCCTCTACTCGGGTTTAGGGTCTAGGGCTTAGGGTTTAGGGTTTAGGGTTTAGAGATCTCTGACCCGCTTGAGCTTAAAGATCTCCAGGGCCCCAAAAGCCCCCCGAAGCCCGCAAAGGCGTCCCTCCAAAGAGCCGTTTTCAGCCCTCAACTGTCAGCTGCAGAGTCAACCGCACAATATCGAACCCTAAAACCCAAACCCTAAACCCTAAAACCTAAACCCTAAACCCTGAACCCGAACACGTCCAAAGCCCACCGACAATCACACGCAGGTACGCGGATTCGCTCCCGCTCCAGCGATGATCTCAACTCTGGCCATGCCGGCTTCCGTTCGGGGATTCGCGGCTAGGTTTAGGGCTTGGGGTTTCGGGTATAGGGCTTCGCCTTAAGAACCCATACCCTACTTTTTGTAGGCTCTTACTATAAGCCCCTTATAGAATTCTCAGGTAGCCTACAAAAAGGTAGGGTATGGGTTCCTAAGGTAGGGTTCAGGGTTTTGGGCTTAGGGTCCTAAACCCTAAACCCTAGACCCTAAACCCTAAACCCTAAACCCTAAACCCTAAACCCTAAACCCTAAAGGGTTAGAGTTTAAGCGGCAAGAGCCCCGGGCCGAATCGTGGTTGACGAAAGTCTCAGTCGCTGTTGCTAGAGTCTTCTTCGGAATTAGGCTTTTTCTTAGGGATGCCTGGGAAGAATTTCTATTTTTGGGGTACTAAAAATTCCTGAGAAACGGCTAAAGTTACAACTTTTGCGAGGGTTCCAGGTTCAGTATAGTTGCGTTGCTCATACAGAGGTTCCGGGGATGTATCAATGTTTTCATCATGGTGTCGACTTTGAAATCTCTGTCACGTTGTTGTTCCGTATGGGTTAGGGCGCCCAACATTTGGGTCACCCCCCACAGCTCCTCCCTCTTATCAGCTAACCCTACAGGGTGGGGCCCCCTTACTATACTTAGTTAAGGGACTTATAACCTAACTTAGGGTCCTTATAACCCAATTTAGGGCCCTTAAAACTCTACTTATAACTAGGGGGCCCCACCCTGTAAAACCTAAACCTTGAGAGTTAGAATCCGCACCCCCAACCCTGAAGCCTAAACCCTGCAAACCCGAACCCATCTACACCCTGTAAACCCTGTACGGCTCCAATGCCACAGGAACATAAACTTTTCAACGCGCAAAGTCCCTATACCCGAGCAGCTCACATTCATGAACCCTGTGGCGTTGAGTTTAGGGTTCAGGGTTTAGGGCTACAACCTATGGCTGTGTCCCAAGCAGCAGAGAGGTTCATAAATCAGCAGCGTGGCTCAAAGTCGAGGAGCTTCCTTACTTGAGCTTGTCGCGTGTGTACTGCCCTAGTTTGTCCAGCTGTTTGTTTGTCTTCGGGTGGTTACATGGTCCCTTAGCACTAGGAGGGGCCCCCTTACTATACTAACTATAGTGAAGGGACTTATATCCTGAGTTAGGATCCTTACAACCCAATTTAGGGTCCTTATAGCTCTACTAAAAACTACCGGGGGGGCCCCGCCCTTTTTATGTGTCCTTACAAGGCGACCCCTTCCAGGACGTTCTGAGGCCGTGTCCGCGAGACGGAGATGAAGATAGAGCCCCCAGAGCCCCTAAACTGGGTTTTGGAGTACTACACTTTAATACTTTTGTTGGTTCTGGGTTGCTATAATAGCTACGTAAACCTAAAACGTATATACTTCTTTTCCAGGGTCCACTCCAAAGCTAAGTGAAAGCTGAAGCCCTAAACCATGCTAAGGGCACATACTACTGCCTTAAGAGTTCGTTGGTGTAGAAAGAGTTTGTGGATGCAGACGCTTGAGTGTTCAACACCTGTTGTTGAGCGCCAAACGCCAAGCCAGAAAGCCTCTGAGCCACAGAGTTTAGGGTTTAGGGCTTAAGGTTTAGGATATTTCTTTGTTTAGGGCTTTGGGAGGTTAGGATTGCTCCAAACCCTGAAGGCCCTTAAGCCGAACGATAACGTCCTCTAGCCACCCGGCAGTCCAGCCACGAACACGCGATGACGCCACCGACATGGAGAGCCTCACGACAGCTGGGACCTTGGGTTTTGGGTTTAGGGTTTAGGGTTTGGGGTTTAGGGTTTAGGATTTAGGGTTTAGGGAGATTGCCGGTGCAGTGAGTGGCCCTAACCCTAGACTTCACAAGCTCTTGCTCACCTCTAGTCTCAGGGACTGCTTGAGGAATCCCAAACCTAGAATTCTTGGGTTTGCTCGCCGGGTTCCTTGCAGGGTGTCAAGAATGATGCCAAGTTAAGACCAACCTGGATCAGTTCTAGGAGCCAGAGTAGGCCTTCATTCCCTTTGTTTGAGGGTTCTGCTTCCCTTCCTAGTAGTAGGTAACCTTTAACCTTTTAGGGTAGTATTATCTCGGTATCATCCCAAAGGTTAACCTTGAATTGCCCCAGGTTGCTGGACAACTAGGCCTTCTAAGCCCCTGAAAGCACTAAGGGCCTCCTGGTCTAGAATTTTAGGGTTTAGGGTTTAGGGTTAGGGTTAGGGTTTAGGGTTTAGGGTTTAGGGTTTAGGGTTTAGGGTTTAGGGTTTAGGGTTTAGGGTTTAGGGTTTAGGGTTTAGGGTTTAGGGTTTAGGGTTTAGGGTTTAGGGTTTAGGCTTTGTTTGGAGCATCCTGGGCACCTGGCGCTTGACTCGCAACAAGGTCACAGGGTTCCTACAATTTCTTAAGCTCTCGGTTTAGGGTTTAGGGTTTAGGGTTTAGGGTGTAGGGTTTAGGGTTTAGGGTTTAGGGTTCAAGGTTTAGGGTTTAGGGTTAAACCCTATGCCCTTTGACCCCTTAAGAGCTTAACCCTACTTCTCGCCTGCATTAAGCTCCATGGGTCTGGGAATGCACTGCAGAGTTTCTTGCTCGCTTTCTTTCTCGCCGCCCTACGTAGCAAATCCCAAGCCCGAAAGAGCTAGCCAGCAACTCGCCCAAAAAGCCCCCCCCCCCCTCCTCTCGATTCTGTTGAACACGACAAGCCTGCACCTTGAACACAAAACCCTAAACCCAGCAGAACGGAGGAGTGGGATCTTTGTGCTTGCAAGGCTCTACATGGGGGTTCTGTGTAACCCTAAATTGTAGGACTCAGGAACATTACCCTAAGCGTCCATGGACATATATAGCATATACTTGAGCCCTAAAGCTATTATATAGGAACCCCTTTAAGACCCAAGCATCTACCATATAGGTACATGGACCCTTTGGGTTACAATACTCTTCACTTTGCAGTTTTGAAGCCGAGGCTGCGGGAAAGGAGCGATTCCGGAAGATGTTGGACGGGGAAGGCGCACGGTTCGGCTTTTCCCCAAGACCCCTGGTGATTTAGTAATACAGTATATAGTAATATAGTATATAGTACTATAGTATTTTAGTACAGTATATAGTTGGGCCTTAAAGCTACCATGGGCGGGTCCAAAAATGTTGTTGTAGTCTGTTTGGCATGCATAGAAGGAGCACTCCTCTAAGTGAGGGCCCTACAACCTACACCCTGAACCCTTAACCCCAAACCCTGAACCCTGAACCCTAAACCCTAAACCCTAAACCCCAATCGGTACATGTACCCTTTTTGGGTGTTCCAAGGGTTGCCGGCTCCTGCGCCATCCCGAAGGCCAACCGGCATTCCCCAATCTTCAGAACCAACAGCTGGTGTGTGTGTGTGTGTAAATCTCTCGCAACCCTAAACCCTAAACCCCAAACCCCAAACCCTAAACCCTAACTAAACCCTAAACCCTAAACCCGAGCTACATTCGACCCTTTCGCCTGTAGCTTGAAGGCGCGATTGCCTGAAACGTTTGGGTTTTGGGTTTACCTTTGCATCGCAGGTTTAGGTTGCTCTGCCTGGAAATGTACATTATATTTGTACCTAGGGTTTAGGGTTTGGGGTTTACGGTTTGCGGTTTAGGGTTTAGGGCTTAGGGTTCAGGGATGTTCATTTACTTACATTCATTTATGTACGACTGAGACTTTTGGTAAGACTTCCAACATCGGCGTCTGGTCCCGATCACCCACTTGGGAAAATGGTTTTTGGCTTGAGCGAGACCCTAAAAATAATTTCGTTTTTGAACAGCTGAGGGCTTCGTGTCGAATTGTGAGGATGGACGCTAGCGAGTTTGCGGACAGAAACGCGGCACGAGAGACCTTATGCAGCGAAACAACCCTAAACCTTAGGCCTTAAACCCTAAACCCCAAACCCTAAACCCTAAACCCTAAAACCTAAACCTCTCTAAGCGGTGCCCGCGAAGAGGATGTTCCTATGTTGTCCTGATTGGCATCATCCTGGGAACCGCCGGATGCCTCGGGTTGCAGAAGTTTGTCTAGGGTTTTGGGGGGTTTAGGGTTTAGGGTTTAGGGTTTAGGGTTTAGGGTTTAGGGTTTACGGTTTACGGTTTACGGTTTAGGGTGTAGGGTGTAGGGTGTAGGGTGTAGGGTTTAGGGTTTAGGGTTTTGGTTTTAGGGTTTAGGGTTTAGACTTAGAGTTTAGGGGTTAGGGTTTAGGGTCTAGGGCTTAGGGTTTAGGTGAGGGATTGGGTGTAAGGCTTATGGTTTGTGGTTTCCGGGTCGGGCGTTTCGTTTCGTGGTTAGGGACGTTGCGGTGCCCTTGTGGCTGCTCGTTGCCAGCTGCGCGCACAAATCAAAATGCTACTGTAGCCTCCACCTCTCTGACAGGTCTGTTGTCCCATGTCCCATTTGGCAAAGTCGGAGGTGCACTACATTATACAGGGTCCCTGCTATGTATTCTGGGCTCCCGAGCAGTCTGGGCATCGGCATGGGGCCGGTAGATTGGGTGTTCGGAGATGCATGTGGGCAGCATGATGCCACAGGGTTGAAAGCTGATATGGACGGGTGTCGACATGTTTTTGATGGCTTCAAATCGGTGCCTATATAAGTGTGTCGCACGCCCATCCCAGCGGAACAGGCTCACGACTCTTTTTTAGCAGCAAGGCTGACTGAAGTGGTCCCGGATCCGAGAATAAGAGCAAATGGGCCCTTGTTCAGATCAAATACCCTACAAGCCCTTTACGCTGGGTCACAAGACCTTGCACGGCGTCAGGTCTGCGTCATAAACCCTAAACCCTAAACCCTAAACCCTAAACCCTAAACCCATGGTCTGTAAAATCATGTCATGTTGCCAGTCCGTGCCACCCACCTCCAGCAGTTCGACAACTTGCCCCAAACCCTAAACTCTAACCCCTACTTGGCGGTTCATGGTACTTCGTAACCGGGTTTAGGGTTTAGGGTTTAGGGTTTAGGGTCTAGGGTTTAGGGTTTAGGGTTTAGGGTTTAGGGTTTAGTGTACGTATATAACCCAAATGTAACCCTATTAGGGTACTTGAGGGGCTTCGCAGTCGGTTCTAACTACACTTATAATTGAGTTGTAAGTACCCTGAACCTCCAAGTAGACCGTTTTAACCCGAAACCTTCCCGAAACCCCAACGCCTAGGCCTGAGATCCTCAACTCTTGAAGCTCATATTATCCCGATGAGATGATGTGACATGGCACCCTCTGCATTCTTCGGAAGCTGAAGGGGCCTTGAAACTCTAAGCCACTAGGGTTTAGGGAGTAGGGTAACCACAGACCCCACTCAGGTAATGTTAATGACGCAAAGCCCTTCGGTACTGCGAAAGCATACTGAACGCTTCTTTAAACTGTGCAACCGTGGAACCAAGTGGGACACTCACGTGGCGAGGAACGGGTGGTGCCCGTCAGGCCTCTACGCTATAGTGTCCGACTCACAAGATTTTGCTACGGCCCAGCTTCAATTAGAAGCAGCAATGACTTACTCAGCCGTCGCAGGCATCCAGTTTCCTCTCGACACGGTTACGGCGCTGGCTGATGACAGTTTGGTCTGCGGCAACGTGCAGGACAGTAATCTGCCATGGATATTCCAAATTCCTCAGAAGACCCACCTGCAGTGTCCTCGACGACTCTCTGTGGGCCCCTTTGAGCCCGGAACCCCACACCTTCCCTAAACCTCAAACCCTAAACCTCAAACCCTAAACCTTAAACCCTAAACCCCGAGGTCATGACGGTCATGGAAACTACACCGGACTTCCGAGACCACCCCATGCTCTTTGAGTTCATGGCCGCCGGCTCAGGGTTTAGGGTTTAAAGGGTTTAGGGTTTAGGGCTTAAAGGGTTTAGGGTTTAGGGTTTAGGGCTTAAAGGGTTAAAAGGGTTTAGGGTTTAGGGTTTAGGGTTTAGCTTTTAGGGTTTAGGGTTTAGGGTTGGTTTGGGGTTTTGGGTTTAGGGTTTAGGGTTTAGGGTTAGGGTTCAGGGTTCAGGGTTCAGGGTATAGGGTATAGGGTTCAGGATATAGGGTTTAGGGTTTAGGGTTTAGTCTCCAGGGCTTAGGGAAGGTTCAGAGTTGAGGCTTTGGAGTCATTTTGTTCAGGCTCTTTAGGCTTTAGTGCTTGAGCCGTTTGTTATGCAAGGCTTCGAGCACTCGGGGGTTTGGCGCTGAGCTCTTGCCAGAAGAATCCGTAGGTTTATTTGCTCGAGGCTGAAGGCTGAGGCTCGAGAGTTATCTGAGTCCGTTTTGCATCTTCGTTCCGTTCAGTTTGGATGGAAAAAAATGTTCGACGGTTGGGGTCACGTTTTTGAGTAAGTAGATGGTTCACTCAAGACTCTAGACCCTGCACCCAAGTTCTTCCGTAAGGCCTCTGAGTATCTGAGTGTCTGCAGTTGCAGAGGACTGCACCCTCACGGTGGCTTTCACCTGTGAGTGTGGGACCCCAGCTGAGGAGCACAGGGTTTCTCTAAGGCCCTATGTGGGGCGGTGTCTCTGTCAGGGTTTAGGGTCGATAGGGTTGCTAGCAATCGTTGAAACAACCCTACTTCATGTGCAAACCTACCTTGGAGGAACCCCACACCTTGATTACATAAAGGAACATGTTTCATGTTTAAAAAAATGTACAGAGGCACGCCATTTAGTGCTAGATGCTAAACCCTTTCGTTTCAGGTTTTGGGCGGTTGGCTTCTGGAACTTCCAGTTGTGGCTTATAGGTTCTGGCTCTGAGCAAGTGAGAACTTAACCCTAAACCCTAATGTCAGCCGCTTGATGACACAAGCACTTGACAACGAGAGCTTCCAATTTGCTACGCTGTCGATTGTCTATCCATGCGTCCCTGCTTATGCGCTTGAACCATTGAACCCTGAAACCCTAAACCCGAAACCCAAAACCCTAAACCCTAAAGACCCCCCTTGGGTTTAACGAGGCCACAACGCCCCAAGCCCGAGGAAGTTGTTTGGGCCGGGTTTGGGGTTTGGGGGTTTAGAGTACATGGCCACTCTACTGGTGTCGTATGGAAGGTCTCCCCAAGCATCTGGGTTTGCCGGAAAAACAGTTGTTCAAACCTGGGTTCAAGAACCTGGGTTGGAGAACCTGGGTTCAACCTGGGTTCGAACCCAAACTATTGAACTATTGGTTTGGGAACCCAGGTTCAACCTGGGTGCAAACCCCCCCTGGGGACCACACCTCCGGAGGGGGGGGTGAAACTTAAGCACCCCCCTTACCAGTTTCACTTCTTTGGTTTCAAAAAATGAAATCCAAAACAAACAAACACCAAAAACACAACAAGATTCGAGGGGGGTGGAATTTAGAATATTCCCTTCTTCTTCTCAAAAAAGGAATTTAACGTTTGGAGTCTCACAATAAATCCATTCTGTTTTCGTAAAGAATAAAATTAAACTAAAAGGGTCTTAACACCTTCAAGACAAACCATAAAAACCCTGATCCCCAAACCCCAATGAAAGACCCCAAACCCTAAACCCTAAACCCCAAATCCCAAACCCCAAACCCCAATGAAAGACCCAACCCACAGGCTAGCTTTGCGGATTTATGCCAGCGTTTCCTATGCCGACTTCTGCGGAAACTGCCGGGGGACCTGGGCGGGCAGAGAGAGCAGTCGGAAAGGCTTCCGCCCTGATGTTGGTTTAGGGTTTGCGTGGCAGGGAGTTAGGGTTTAGGGTTAGGTTATTAGGGTGTTAGAGTGATAGGGTGTTAGGGTGTTGGGGTGTTAGGGTGTTGGGGCGTTAGGGTGTTAGGGTTTCGGGTTTAGGGAGGGGTCCCTTGTTGGGTACCCAGGGTATCCGACATATTTGAGCGCAGTAAGTAGGGGAAACGTAAACATTGATTCCTGGCCATATGGGTTTCTGTTTCATCTCGCCAGTGCGGAACACCAGACTCAAAGATCTGCAAAATTTGAAGCCCAGTGCCTTGGAACCCCTAAACCCTACACCCTACACCCTACACCCTACACCCTACACCCTAAACCCTAAACCCTAAACCCTAAACCCTAAACCCTAAACCCTAAACCCTAAACCCCCCACCCTGAGCTCAAGGTTCGTTGACCATCCCCGTGCATGGACCATCCCTCTAGCCCTAACCCCTACGCAACCCCCTGAAGCCCCGAGGTAAACCCTCAACCTTAAACCCCTGAACCAGAAAACCCCCAAGGTTTAGGGTTTAGGGTTTAAGGTTTAAGGTTTAGGGTTTAGGGTTTAGGGTTGAGGGTTAGTCCAGTCAGGGTACAACCTCATCGACGTCTTCGCAATCGTGGGGGTCCTCAGGGCCTCTCCAGACTGGGCAGAACACGGTTTCATGGCCAAGTGTGTATAGCTTAGGGTTTAGGGTTTAGGGTTTAGGGTTTAGGGGTTTAGGGTTTAGGGTTTAGGGTTTAGGGTTTAGGGTGGCCATGTGTGTATACACATGGGGGGGGTGGGGGTGGCCTGACCGCTTATCGGTTCTGTCTACGGGGGCTGAAAAACTCATGAAACATATGTGTGTCATAGTGTATGTATATACAAGAAGAGAGAGCGAGAGATTGCGAGAGAGAGAGAGAGCGAGAGCGAACAACTGAGGAAACGATAGAGGAGAATCTAGAGAACGCAAGAGAAGGAGAAAGCGTGAGAGTCTAAAGCCTCAACGAGTCCTGAAGCTTAGCTCCGATGGTGCATGGCGAACAGCTTTTTGCGGCTGCAAGGCTGTAGCTTGAGTTCATGAACGACGCATGTACCTAGTCTTGGGAAGAAGCCTCCGAACCCTGAGCCCAAAACCCTCAACCCTCAACCGCCACCGTTGGCGTTTCGGGTTTAGGCCTCCTAGAGTAGTCCAGACACTCGATGTTCTGCGTGCACCCTTGCCGGCAATCGAATTTGTTCATGGGTTCTACAGTTTGCAAGTACGGTAGTAGCATACACATGTACATATACATACATACATACATACATACATACATACATACATACATACATACATACATACATACATATGTATTGTGTTGTTTACACATGTGCGCATAAGTATTTATTATTATTATATATATATGTATATTTTACATATACATGGTTTCTGTGTATATCTTTTTCTGGGATGTACAAAGGATATTTTGGAACCCAGGCCCCAAGTTTGACCAGCCCTCCAGCCGCACCCCTCTTGAGAGGTTGGGGTTTAGGGTTTAGGGTTTAGGGTTTTGGGATTAGGGTTTAGGATTTTCTATGTTTCGTGGCCATGCTTCTGCGGCATTTGTGGCTTGTTTAGGCATTTGTGGTCCAGTTCTCGCGTTCCCCGGCTCCTGCAGCCTTAACCTTTTTCAACTCCCAAGCCCTAAACTCCCAGACCCTCCGTCTTAAACCGTAGATTTTATAAAGTCTGAAACTTTCCAACCGCGAGCCCTTTTTGCTTTGGGATTCCCCAGTTGTATTGCTGAAAAACCCAACCCTCAATCCCAAGCCAGAACCCCAAAACTCCAAACCCCTAAACCCTAAACCCTCAAAAACCGCCGAGTTCCTCAGAGCTTAGGTGCCGAGTTTCTTCCAGCTGCTGTTCATGCTCTGGCACGCGGAAGCCCACAAGATGCACAAGGACTCCCCGGTTTAGGGACCCTAAGCCCTAAGCCCTAAGCCCTAAGCCCTACGCCCTAAACCCTAAACCCTAAACCCTAAACCCTAAACCCTAAACCCTAAACCCTAAACCCTAAACCCTAAACCCTAAACCCTAAACCTTAACCGTAACCCCTGGGGTTTTTTGGGGGGTTCTGAGGGCCAGGGTGTGAGTTTCAGGACACCGAGGCTTGCGTCTTCAGGGCTTTAGGGCTACAAGGCTTCCGGGCTTGCAGATTGCGGGTTTTCAGGTTTTGGGTTCAGGGATCAGGGTTGAGCGCTTGGGGTTCAGTTTTGAGTTTAGGCTTCAGCACTTGCAGATTGCAGGGTTTCAGGGTTTGGGTTCAGGGTTTTCAGCATGTCGGTGTACTTACTGATGTTTGTTGAGCTTGAGGTTTAGGGATTCGCCCTGAACCCTGAAACCCTCTCCTAAACCCTAAACCCTAAACCCCAAACCCCGAACCCCAAACCCCGAACCCCGAACCCTAAACCCTAAACCCCAAGCACCTGTAGACCCTGCTGCGCCAATCCCTACCATTCGACCCAAAAATAGCGCAACAGCTCACGCAGTAATTGTGCCGTTTGAGCCGAAAACATCTTCAAACAAAGAGAACTTAGGGTCTTAGGGCCATAAACTATAATATAGGGCCCAACAGTGGGCCCTCTTTACTCTTCTTTCGGGTTTAGGCTCCCTTATAAGCCCCTCCAAACCAAAGAGGGTGCCCTTTATATTCCTTGGGTCACCCTGAAACCTAACCCTAAACCCCGCAAACCCTAAACCCCCCAAACCCTAAACCCTAAACCCCAAACCCCCCAAACCCTAAGCCCTAAACCCTAAACCCTAAACCCTAAACCCTAAACCCTAAACCCTAAACCCTAAGCCCTTCTCATCGCGAGGCTGTGGACTCGATCCGCACCTTCCGCATGGTGCGGCTCCTGCGCATCGCGCGGGTCTTCCGAGTCTTGCTGGGGGCTCGGGAGGATGTCCGGGTGTGAGGGGAAGATGCTAGGTAGGTTTAGGGTTTAGGGTTTAGGGTTTAGGGTTTAAGGTTTAGGGTTTAGGGTTTAGGGGTTTTGTTATGGTAACATACTAGGTAGGTTTAGGGTCGTGGGTTTAGGGTTAAGGGCTTCGCGTTTAGGGTTTGAAGTTGGGACTTTTTGCTAACAGTCCTTAATCGGGATGATCCCCCAATGATGGTCTATTGGGTTTAGGGTTGGGATACAGTCCTTAGTAGGGATTCTAGTGCCCCTTATTATGATGCCACCAGGACTGTTAGTATAAGGGAGAACCTCCCAAGATTCAGGGATTGCCATGGTTTAGGATGCTGTTTTTTGAAGGGTTTTGGGTGGAGGGCCGTCAGGAGCCTGACTTGCTACACAACTTCGGCTTAGGGCAACTTTAAGATTCACAACTTGCAGGGCTTATAGGCGTTATCGGATTTATGGGGTCTTAAGGTTTCAGACCCTCAAGCCCAAACACACACTGTAGAGCCCCAGAGGACAGTCCCAAGACCAGCATGCGTTCAATGCAGAAGTGTTCGGCTTTGGGTTTCGGGGCTTAAGATTTCGGATTTAGGGTGCATCGGGAGTTGGTTGTTCTACTGTTCTTCTGAATGGGCAAGGGCCTCTTCATAGGCACCTTGTAGAGTATTACTGAATCCCTCATGGAAGAGACTTTCATCCTCACAGGGTCCAGCTTTGCATGGCTGCGATACAAAAATATGTATATGTATATGTGTATATATATATATATATTAGCTGCAGGCAGTAATGAATCTTTCACCATTACCGACATGGTTTGCTGTCTAGAATTCCTTGCGGCAAACATCCAGTCCGAAACCCCTCCTTCTAAGAGCTCTCTTCAACATAAACCCCTACCAAGCCCTCAGAATTAAGTCCTAAACCCCAAGCCCTAAAAACCCTAAACCCCCCTCTGGGCCCCTAGACCAAGATGCTTAGAGGAGTTCAATGAGGATTGTTTCTCTGAACCAGGAGTCCCCCTTTAGGATTCAAGTTGTTGGGGCTTCAGTGGCTTAACAAACCCACAGCCCTAAAACCTCCGACGTATTAAAGCAAAGCTCAAAACCCTCAACAAAAGCCCCTGGGACTTAACTACAGTTAGTATAGTTAGTAGCCCTTCTTGTAGGGCAAGCCAACTGCAGAGTTAGACGGTTTGTCCCAAAGGGCTGCGGAAGGAGAAGGTTGCCCTTTCGCAGCTAAAGGCCCTTTAGCTCCTTCTAGAGGTTTAGGGTTTAGGGTTTAGGGTTTAGGGTTTAGGGTTTAGGGTTTAGGGTTTAGGGACAGCAGACCTGCGACAGTCGCCTGATGCACGAGTGGAACATCGTTCCGCAGATGGATCTGCTGCTGGCGGTGCTCCTGGACCCTCCGCCGTGTAGGGTTTAGGGTTTAGGGTTTAGGGTTTAGGGTTTAGGGTTTAGGGTTTAGGGTTTAGGGTTCAGGGAACACACTAAACTCCTTAAATGGGGTTCTTAAGGGAGGCAGGTTTCAAGGGGTTCCGAAGACTCCCCACTACTCCTAAGCTTCCCTGAGAACCCTAAACCCTAAACCTTTTATGAAGCCCCCTCCCTTAAGGACCCTGTAATGTCTTCTCCCTATCCAGGGATAGCTGAAGCAGCTGGGTATCTGGATCCTGAAGCTGAACCATCAGCCCTATTGGTGGAGGGTTTGGGGTTTAGGGTTTATAGGGTTTAGGGTTTAGTGTTCAGGGTTTAGGGTTTGGGGTTTAGGGTTTAAGGTGTGGCATAGTGATAGTGTATACGTAGGCGTTTGTCAGGTCTTGTGTTTTCTCAGGACAGGGATAACAACCATCAAGTGGCATGTGCAACTTACTGTCCACTGTTGCTCCAGCATCCCTGGGCGGAGGGCACCTAGAAAACAACCTCTATCATATCTCCTCTCCTGACACCGCTCGTGATCTCTGTATAGGGCCCTCAGTAGGCTGGCAAATTGAACCTCACAAGGCCTGGAGTGCCTTTTGGCCCACTTGGACGCCCAGTCGCATCTTTCTTCTCTTCGTTTATACAATCCCTTGAGAATCAAATTGAGCACAAGACGCATGCCAGTTGCTTGTTCTAGGTGGCTGGGCAAGCTAGCTAAAGAATTACGGCCCTGATCCCCAAACACCAAAACCCTCACGCCCTAATCCCTAAAACCCTATCAAACCCTTTTCAACCCTACCTTAGGAACACATAACCTACTGTTTCGTAGGCTATGCCTAAGAAGCCTATAAGGGGTTTGAGAGTAACAACCTGCAGAAATGTAGGTTATGTGTTCTTAAGGTGAGCATCAACCCTGAACCCTAATATGACGTACAAGTTGGCACCCGCAACCCCAGTCCAACGAGACCTGCGCATGTCCCACTTGGAGGTTCATGGTACTTATTAGCCAAATTATAACTGTACTTATACCCCACTTATAAGCCCCTTAAGTGCCCTAATGTGGTTATAAGTACAGTTACAAGTACAGGTATCCCTAAACCCAAAACCCTAAACCCTAAACCCTAAACCTCCAAGCAGGAGTCTGCCAGCAACGGCATCATCATTGTCGTACTGCTGGGCCGGGAAGCCCACAGCATTCCGCAGCACTAGGGTCTATAGGGTTTAGGGTTTTTAGGGTTTAGGGTTTTAGGGTTTAGTGTTTTTTGTGGGTTTAATTAGGGTTTAGGGGTTTTGGGTGTAGGGGTCTAGGGTTTAGGGGTTTAGGGGTTTAGGGGTTTAGGGGTTTAGGGGTTTAGGGGTTTAGGGGTCTAGGGTTTAGGGGTTTACGGGTTTAGGCGTTTAGGCGTTTAGGGGTTTAGGGGTTTAGGGGTTTAGGGGTTTAGGGGTTTAGGGTTTTAGGGGTTTATGGGTTTAGGGTCCTAGTTCGGCCTGAGGGAGGTATATGTGCTCTAGTACAACAGGGGGGAACGGACAGGTACCGAATTTCTGAATAAGCCTAACCCCTAAACCCCATCAAGAGCTAGGAAGCTTTGTGGGGGTTGTGAGGGGTCGAAACACTACCTTCGGGCCTAAACCCTGAACCGTAAAGCCTCCATCATTTTTGGATTTGGGGTTTCGGGTTTAGGGCTCTCCCCAAAATGGCTCACTGAACGTGGTCAAAGTCACAGCCTGCCGTCAGCTCTCCCTGAAGATTGCTCCTATGGGGGCCCCAAGCCCGTTTCAAGTGTGCCCACCCTTACAGGCCCGAGGCTTGAATCTCCAAATTTTGGAGGGGTCTCTGAAAACCCCCAAAAGGTTCAGAATGCTGGAAGCCCTGGACGGATATTGTTTACGAGGCTGATAACCCGAAAAGCAGACATAACAACCCTAAACCTGATCTTGGTCAAAAATGGGTGGGATCCCAGGCGAACATCACAAGAGAATCTACGATCTCAGCCGTGACTTTAAATCACGGCTACGGCAGAGAACTTGAATGGTGCGTCATGGTGCGTCCTATGCTATGGATGTGCGCGTGGCCTGGAACAACTCATTCACGGCTTCCTTCACGAGCTCCAGCTGCTTGTGTGGCGTCCGGCCCAACAGAGAGGCCCGCATCTTCAAAGCATGGCTCCATACTTCCGGCAAGACTGGACTTCAACCCTGCCTCGGTAGGTTTGAACATAATTTTAAATATCTATGAACCTTCGTCCCGTATAGATCGTATAGAATCCTTACAGCCAGAAACATTTTGGTTTTCATAGGGCCCCCCCCTTAGGGCTTGGGGGGTTGGGGTTATAGGGGATGTTAAGGGGAAAAAGGAGGGACCGCTAGACGTGACCCTGAATCTTGTACAACCCCCATAATATATATATATATACATACATTATCAAATCTATATACAGTATATATATATATATATGAAAGAGCAACCTTTCGGGTCTATTTAACCTCTCTTCTTTTCTATTTAACTGATAATTATTTAAATAATTTAAATTATTTAAATAATTTAAATAAAAAATACAACCCATTTAATTATTTAAATAAGTCGGGTGATTTAAATAATTTAAATGATTTAATTGAGACCAATTAAATTATTTAAATTATTTAAATAGTTGAAAGAGGCCCGGGGATTTAAATAATTTAAATAATTTACTTCAGGCGAATTAAATTATTTAAATTGTTTAAATTGATTAAGGAGGCCGGGGGATTTAAATAATTTAAATAATTTAATTCCGCGCAATTAAATTATTTAAATTATTTAAATTATTTAAATTATTTAAATTATTTAAATTATTTAAATTATTTAAAGAGGCCGGAGGATGTAAATAATTTAAATAATTTAATTCGGCCCAATTAAATTATTTAAATCATTTAAATCATTTAAATTATTTAAATTATTTAAATTATTTTAATGCTCCCAAATCCAGGCTGCGGGCCGGAGTCGCCTGAGGCAGAATTTCCGACCATTTAAATTATTTAAATAATTTAAATAATTTAAATAATTTAAATAATTTAAATAATTTAAATAATTTAAATAATGCCAATTAAATTATTTAAATTATTTCAATTATTTAAGGAGGCAGGGGGATTTAAATAATTTAAATAGTTTAATTCAGGCCAATTAAATTATTTAAATTATTTAAATTATTTAAATTATTTAAATTATTTAAAGAGGCCGGGGGATTTAAATAATTTAAATAATTTAATTCGGCCCAATTAAATTATTTAAATTATTTAAATTATTTAATTTATTTAAATGCTCCCAAATCCAGGCTCCGGGCCGGAGTCGCCTGAGGCCGAATTTCCGACCATTTAAATTATTTAAATAATTTAAATAATTTAAATAATTTAAATAATTTAATTCCGGCCAATTAAATTATTTAAATTATTTCAATTATTTAAGGAGGCAGGGGGATTTAAATAATTTAAATAATTTAATTCAGGCCAATTAAATTATTTAAATTATTTAAATTATTTAAATTATTTAAATTATTTAAATTATTTAAAGAGGCCGGGGGATTTAAATAATTTAAATAATTTAATTCGGCCCAATTAAATTATTTAAATTATTTAAATTATTTAAATTATTTAAATTATTTAAATTATTTAAATGCTCCCAAATCCAGGCTCCGGGCCGGAGTCGCCTGAGGCCGAATTTCCGACCATTTAAATTATTTAAATTTTTTAAATAATTTAAATACTTTAAATAATTTAATTCAGGCCAATTAAATTATTTAAATTATTTAATTTATTTAAATTATTTAAAGAGGCCGGGGGATTTAAATAATTTAAATAATTTAATTCGGCCCAATTAAATTATTTAAATTATTTAAATTATTTAAATGCTCCCAAATCCAGGCTCCGGGCCGGAGTCGCCTGAGGCCGAATTTCCGACCATTTAAATTATTTAAATAATTTAAATAATTTAAATAATTTAATTCCGGCCAATTAAATTATTTAAATTATTTCAATTATTTAAGGAGGCAGGGGGATTTAAATAATTTAAATAGTTTAATTCAGGCCAATTAAATTATTTAAATTATTTAAATTATTTAAAGAATTTAAAGAGGCCGGGGGATTTAAACAATTTAAATAATTTAATTCGGCCCAATTAAATTATTTAAATTATTTAAATTATTTAAATTATTTAAATGCTCCCAAATCCAGGCTCCGGGCCGGAGTCGCCTGAGGCCGAATTTCCGACCATTTAAATTATTTAAATAATTTAAATAATTTAAATAATGTAAATAATTTAATTCAGGCCAATTAAATTATTTGAATTATTTAAATTATTTAAATTATTTAAATTATTTAAATAGGCCGGGGGATTTAAATAGTTTAAATAATTTAATTCGGCCCAATTAAATTATTTAAATTATTTAAATTATTTAAATTATTTAAATTATTTAAATGCTCCCAAATCCAGGCTCCGGGCCGGAGTCGCCTGAGGCCGAATTTCCGACCATTTAAATTATTTAAATAATTTAAATAATTTAAATAATTTAAATAATTTAAATAATTTAAATAATTTAATTCAGGCCAATTAAATTATTTAAATTATTTCATTTATTTAATTTTTTTGAAGAGGCCGGGGGATTTAAATAATTTAAATAATTTAATTCGGCCCAATTAAATTATTTAAATTATTTAAATTATTTAAATTATTTAAATTATTTAAATTATCCGGGGGATTTAAATAATTTAAATAATTTAATTCGGCCCAATTAAATTATTTAAATTATTTAAATTATTTAAATTCTTTTAATTATTTAAATTATTTAAATGCTTCCAAATCCAAGCTCTGAGCCCGCAGACTCGCGGCTCGATTTGGCCAAATTTTGCCCGCAGACTGCCCAGCAAAATTTGGCCAAATCGAGCGGCGCCTTTCTGAAGGCCCGAAACTATATAAACTCTCGCGGCTCGATTTGGCCAAATTTTGCCCGGCAGCCTCCGGGCAAAATTTGGCCAAATCGAGCCGCGCCTTTCTGAAGGCCCGAAACTATATAAACTCTCGCGGCTCGATTTGGCCAAATTTTTCCCGGCAGCCTCCGGGCAAAATTTAGCCAAGTCGGGCTGCTCTTTGTACGCGATAAGGAATGCGCGGCTCGATTTGGCCAAATTTTGCCCGGAGGCAATTTTATTGCGCGTATTTAAATTATTTAAATTGTTTAAATGCTCCCAAGTCCAGGCTCTGGGCCGGAGTCGCCTGAGGCCGAATTTCCGACCATGTAACTTGTTTAAATTATTTAAATTATTTAAAGAGGCCCGGGGATTTAAATAATTTAATTCAATTCTGTACAATTAATTCAATTAATTTATTCTTTTTGTCACCTTTAATCATCTTCTAATCGGGTCATCGTTTGGATCTTATTTGGAAAGCATCCTTTGTCATAATCATATTCTATCGTTATCACCTTTTTGTTACCTTTTTGTTGTAATCTTTTATCATTTTTGTCATATTTTCATCATCTGTTATCATCTTTTAATCGGGTCATCGTTTGGATCTTATTTGGAAAGCATCCTTTATCCTAATCATATTCTATCGTTATCACATTTTTGTTATCTTTTTGTTGTAATCTTTTATCATTTTGTCATATTTTTATCATCTTTTATCATCTTTTAATCGGGTCATCGTTTGGATCTTGTTTGGAAAGCATCCTTTATCCTAATCATATTCTATCGTTATCACCTTTTGTTATCTTTTTGTTATAATATTTTATCATCTTTTTTGTCATCTTTTTATAATATTTTATCATCTTTTAATCGGGTCATCGTTTGGACTTTGTTTTTGAAAGCATTTTATCTTAATCATCTTCTATCGTTATCATCTTTTATCATATTTTATCATCTTTTATCATCTTTTTGTAATCTTTTATCATCTTTTATCATCTTTCTGTCATCTTTTTGTAGTCGTTTATCATCTTTTTGTCATCTTTATTATATGTTTCCGTCTTATATCATTATGATTATGGGGTGAGCAAGGAGTCAAATCGCAAGCCCTGGTCCCTAAGATTTTCGGTTCAGCTTTTATGCCAAAGAGTTAAATCGCAAACCCAAACCAATTAAATCATTTAAATCCTACGGTCTAATTAAATTATTTAATTGAGGCGTCGGATTCAAATAATTTGATTGGCTCTG